ACAAAATAATATGAAAATCTTTTTATTAGAAAATATTAAGACTATTAAGCAGATTTAGAAACTTAAGTATTAGAAAAACTCATTATTGATAAAAAAATAAAGAAAACAATAAAATTTTACCTATTGATTCTTAAGAATTTTCAAAAAATAATAATAAAGATATTATTTTTATTAAATCATAAACTAAATAGGATATTGATAATTAACTTTCATAATAATAATTATATAAAATTTTTTAAGAAACAACTTATATTAATTTCCTTAATAATGAAAAAATAAAAGGAATTATTGAAATTGGAGAAATAATTGAGTTTGTTTTTTAAAGTTTGCCTTAAATTATAATCTAGTATGTAAATAATACCTAACTAAATATATGGAAATAAGGAAGTAACTCTTATATTACACCTGTAGTTTCTTTTTCTTTTAGTGCAATTTCAATTATTTTGAATTCTATAAATTTAATAAATTATTTACTTTAAAGAGAAAGCATGTATTTTTTATTTATGTAAGATTTAATGAAAAAAAAATATAAAAATTCCGAAGAATAAAAACTTATTCAAGTACCTAATTTTATTGGAGGAGATATGGAAATTCTCGAAAAAATAAACTTGAATAAGTCAGTTGCTTAAAATATGTATATTAATAATAAATTAAAAAACTATAAATCACTTTAAATAATCAATAAAATGATGCTGATAGTATTTTTTGGGATGTTTCATCTATTAAGTATTTCAATATTATACATTTGAAAATTGATTTAAGGTTATTTTTTATTTTATTTTTTCTTTATTTAATTTTTTATATTTATATAAATTTTAAGTAACAATTATTGCTCGTTAAGTATGAAAAGATTTTGTTTAAATTTTTCTTAGTTAAAAAATCTTAGTTTAGTTAATTTGAATTTCTCATTTAATTGTTTTAATGATTAAGATGCTATATTTTTGTCAAAATCTTTGCAAGATGTTTCTTAATTATAAAGCTTATAAGAAGTTTATGTTAATTTGATGTAACTTTTAAAAATGCTTTTATGTTTATTTATTTATTGAAGGAATAACAAAATAGGTGAAGAAGGAATAATCCATTTAAATAAAGTTATTTAGTTAACTCCATAAATTAAATAATTTAATTTGCTTTTGAATAAAGCTTCTGCTTTGTATTAATAAAGCGAAGAAGAAATAGATATTGATTGTGTTTTAAAATCATAGAATATTATTTTTTTATATATGAATTAGTATTTATTTTTTCTGTTTTAATTTTTTATATAATCAATAAAAAGGAAATTTAAAACTTAATAAAATGTTAAAGAATTGCTAAGTGCTTTATAAAATACAAATGCAATAAAAGGATTTAATCTTAATTTAGAGTATACTAAAAAAAACATATATACTTTATTATTTTATATTTTAAGAGGAATTAAAATGGATGACTAAATTGAATAAATGCTTTTAAATTTCAAATAAAATCAACTAAACTTAAAAAATTTTCATATAAACTTAAAGTAATATAAATAATTCCTTTAATTGAAATTTTTTATTTTTTATATAATAAAGAAACAACGGATTATAATCTAATTAAATTGAAAAAATTTTAAAAAGTTAATTAAATTATATTGAATTTAAAGCGAACCTTAGGTATTTTTAAATTTTTAAGTAAAAAAATTGTTAACATTAATTATAAAAGTGAAAACAAAGATTTAAGTGATTTAAATTTAGATTTCATATATAATTAGAAAGAATTATAAATACTTGATATTAATTTATAGTAGATATATTATATAAATTAATTATTAAAAAAAAAACAAAAAATAGATAAAACAATTATTAGAAAATTGAAGAAATATTTCTTAATTTAAATAAATTAAAAAATTTAAATTAATTTTATGTAAATTTAAAGTAAATTAAATATATATAGTATTATTAAATATTTAAATATATTTTAGTTATAATAATTTAGAAAATTCTTCTTTAAGTTATGAATTCATTAAAAATCAAGAATTTACCAAAAATTTATAAATGATAGGATTAAACTTAAGGTTTTTATTTTTTTAATTAAATTAATTTTGATAAAATAATAGATAGACGAACATAAAAGAAGAAACATTAACTCATATTTTAGAAAAAGTTGAATATTAAAAAAATTTATAAAATCTTTAAATAGATATATCGTAAAAATAATAAAAATAAATTAAAAAAATAAAATAATATATAGAAGAAATGAAATCTTGAAAAATTAAAAAAATAAATTTATAAATACAACTTTAAATAATACTTTGAAAAAGTTATCGAATTTATAATATTTAAATATTAATTTAAAGTAAGAAATATTAGCATATATTAATATGAATATAAAATTTAAATATATATAAATGTTTACTAATATATATATTTAAATAAATATATATATAAATATATATTTAAATATATATATATTTATATAAAGTTATATATGTTTTTATATATATATAAATAATTTTAAATTTATAATTTATTATTTTATTTATATATATTTAATTAGTAATACTTATATAAATGAATAAGTTGATATATTTTAATCATTAAAAATCTTGATTAATTAATTGAAGTATAAATTGATTTAAGGTAAAATAATAATTAATTTATATTTTATAAAAAATTATAAAAGCAATAACCCTATAAATTTAATCTTTTAAGATACACAAAATAACATATTTTAAAATAAGAATAATTTGAAATATTTAAAATTAAATTTTTAGTAAAAAATTAATTTAATTTAATTAAATTAATAAATAATACCAACATATAATAAAAAAAAAAGGGCAACATATTTAGGATATTCATGTGGTCAGTTTTTTTAAAATTGCTTTCAATAATTATAGAATTTAGAAATTTAAGATTTAAATTTATGGTATTAAATAAATATTTTATAATTTTTACTTTTTTATAATTTATACATAGTTATTCTATGTTATATGAAACAGAAGCTACAGCAATTGTTACTTCATTAAATAATTTAAAAAAAATAAAATAAATAAAACTTTATTTAAGAGGAAACAAATTTTATAACGGAACTTTAATAGCTTTAAAAAATGCTTTAAATAGTCTTTTAAATATTACTCATTTATACTTAGATTTTGGTGTTTGTGAATTATAATTAAATCAGATTAATCTAATAGCTTAAATGATTCCTAAGTAGAATCCCAGAGGATTAAATATTTCATTATAGTATTTTTTTAAAAAAAATATTATTTTATATAACTATAGGAATAATTATTTAAATGGTAACGATAATTTTAAATAATTTTTAGATTAAATATTACCTAATATAAACACTTTAAAAAGCTTTTAATTTGATTTTACGTAATAATATCTATATAAATTTCATTATAAGATAAATATTTTTATTATAAAAGTTAATCAAATGTTAATTTAAAAAGTATTGATAATCTATTTAGCCTATGTTAAAATATGAGTTAATTAGAAAGCTTAGATATAGGTTTTGGATGTATTTATGCTTATTATTAAAATTAGATGGCAATTTAAAATAGCATTCAAATTTAAAAATAAAATTTAAATAATCAAATGAATAAAAATATAGGTATATAAAGCTTAGCAATTAATTAAAATATGTAGGACTTAAAAGACTTTTAATTATTAGAAAATTTCTTTAAAGTATTTTAATATAAACCAAATTTAAGATTTATAAAACTTGATTTATAGTATAATAAAAATATTTAAATTTATTTCGTTAAGTTTATTAAAATTAAAATAGAAAAAATAGTCTAAATTCTAAATATTTGGATTTATGTATTCCGCATTTATAAAGTTTAAAAAGATTAAATTAAATAGTAATAAATTTAAAGGAAAATTAGCTTTCAATAGAATTTTTAAATTGTCTTTTCAAAGGTTTAAGCTAATGTAAATTATTGAAAATGATTAATATTAATTTGAGTAGTTGCGGAATTAAAAATTAGCATATTGATTAATTTAATTTACTTGAAAAAGATTAATTAGAAGATTTAAAACTTAATTTAAAGTAATATTATTATTATAAAAAAACATAAATATTATCTAATTTTTTTTAATTTATTTAGTTATAATTCTATTACATTTAACGAAGAGGAAAGTTTGAGCACAATGTTGTTAAAATGCTAAAACTTAAAAAACTTAAATTTATAATTAGTGTATTATATATTTTTATGTATTTTATTTTATTTTATTTTTTAAATATTAGGAGTAATGATATTTCAAGTAATGGATTACTAAAATTGATCAAATCATTTTAAAATATGAAAAATTTAGCATAATTAAATTTAAATATAAGGTTTAATATAATATGCATTATATATTTTTATTTATTTAAATTTTTAAGTGATAATCCTATTTAATATTAAGCAATGGAATAATTATAAAATTATATTTGCAATTTAGACAATAATTTAAATTAAATTGATATTATTTTCGAAGAGTAAATATACTATTATTTACTATTTAATTATAAATAATATTTTTTTTAGATTTGGAAAAGATTAAAATAGTTTGAAAATTCGAGATTTTATTTTATAAAACTCTAAAATTCCAAAAATAGATATTATATTTTAATTAACATAACATAATTGATTATATAAAAATATTTAAAAGAGTGAAAAAAAATAAAAATATATAACCTTTATATTATAGTTTAAAATCATATAAAAAAAAATCAGAACTTAATATAGTAACTACAGTTTTATAACTTTATTTTTTAACTTGAAAAAATATTTATAATAATAATTAAACTATATTTATTTATTTTTTGCAATTTATTTTGCTAATCATTTATTATTATATATACATTGTTTTCTATATATAATAATAATATTCAAATTAATAATCTTAATAAAATAAATTTAACATTAAGAAATACTTATATTTAATTTCAGAATTTAAAAGACAATATATTAAAAAGATATATTATAAAAAAATTTAATTAATTATTTTTATTATATATACTATCAGCGAGATATATTAAATTAAAACAAAATTAAAATTAAATAAATAGAAAAAATGGAAGAAAAAAAGTAAACAAAAATGGCTTGGGCAGAAAGTCTTTCCAAAAAGCTGGCATATATATTAAGACATGGAGCTAAATCAGAAGGAATAAATATAGGTTTAGATGGATTTGTAGATATAGAAGAGTTATTAAGTCATAATAAATTTAAAAATATTACATTTAAATAAATTCAATACGTTGTAGAAAATAATGATAAAAAACGTTTTGAGTTAATTAAAAAATAAGAAGATAATAAATATTATATTAGAGCTTCTCAAGGACATTCAATTAAAGATATAAATGATGAGTAATTATTACAAATTTTAAGCTTAGAAGATGCGAAAAAGTTAGATGTAGTCGTCCATGGAACTTATTAATAACATATTAAACCCATTTTGGAATAAGGGCTCAGTATAATGGGTAGAAATCATATCCATTTTGCAATTGGATACACATCAGATAAAGTTATATCTGGAATGAGGAAAACCTGTGATATTTTTATTGAAATCGATGTTATAAAAGCTATTAATGATGGTATATAGTTTTTTGTTTCTAAAAATAATGTTATTTTAAGTAGCGGAAAAAATGGAATTTTAGAAAGCAAATATTTCAAAATTGTTAAAAATAATAAAAATGAAATTATATTTCAAAATAATTGAAATATTCATTATTGCTTTTAAAAGTAATCAAGTTTTGATTTATATTGTTATATATTTATTAATATTAATTTATATATTTTTATAAAATACTCTTTTATGTAAAAAAAAATATATACTTACTTCTTAATGAAGAAAATAGATAATTTTCTAATTTTTATTTATAGAATCTTTATCTTTTTTTTTTTTTTTTTGGGAAAATAACTTTAAATCTTTTATAAAAAAAATATAAAATAATGAATTAAATATAAATTATTTTTAAAAACAAAATTAAAGCTATAATATAATATATTTATTATAAAAAAAGGGAAGGAGAATATAAATAACTTATATTATTTGTGTCCATATTTATTATAATATAGATAAATATAAATATAGAAAATAATTAGTATTTAAATTAATTAAATTTTCATTTGTTTTTTAAATGCAAATATTAATTTAATAAAAATATATGATAATTAAAAATAAATATTAAATATAATTTATAAAATTAATACACGTAATAATTATATATATTTAAGATTACATTATTTTTGAAATAAATATCTTAAAATAATAATGTGAAGGAAAATTTTTTTTTTTTTTTTATGTTGAAAAGTCAGATTATTAATCAATTTAAAGGAAAGTAATATTAATATTAATATTATTAATATTTTTAATCCGATAAATTATTTTATTATTAAATAAAGTCAAAATTATCTGGAATTATTTAATCATCTAGACTAATAGTATTTGTGTTATCTAATGATGAGTTACTTTTTTCAAATTTAATAATATCTGAAAAAGAATTTATTTCAATACATTTATTATTTTTATTGCTTTTTTTTATTAATATTTAATTTTCTGGAAAAATACTATTCCATAAAGAATACACGTCTACTAAATTTTAATTTCTACTGAATTAATATATTAACAAAGATATTGTTTATTTCCAAACTTGTGTTTGCCATGGATTAGAATATTTTTCATAATATGATATATCTGTGCATATATTTTTGATAAGGATTTTTTAAAAATCGTATAATCTTTAATTTATTTCGATTTCAAGAATAAAACCTTTTAATAATTACATATATTTTGGGCACTTCAAATAAGAATACTTTTTTAAAATTTATTAATTTGATATATTTAAATCTATTTATTAACAATATGATTTTAAAAAGTAATTACATATAGCATTTTGAAATTTATAATTTAATTATCCTCTGTCTTTTTTTATTATATCTAAAATTATAAATAGATTTTTTTAAATAGTTTATTTGTAGATTTCTAAAGACATTAAATATATTTTTGTATTTTATTTTAATTTAATAAATATATTTACATAATTTTAAATTAGTTTTATTAACTAAATTATAATATTTTTTGACAATTATTATGTGATTTAAAGATTAAATTAACTTATTCTAAAAAAACGTTCGATATAACTTAAATAAAACAAAACAAAAAAAACTAAGGAGATTGATCCAAATAAAAAAAAAGAAATAGAAAAAAAAATCTAAGAAAATAAATAAACTTAAATAATTAATTATAAATAAAAATAAAATTAAAATTAAAATTAAAAATATTCTCATCTCTATTTTTTAAAAAATATAAATTTATTATAATATTTTTTTTTTCTTCTATATAAAATTAAAATTTTTTACTTTTAATATTGATAAGATTACTTTATATTAAAACAAAAATATTTGTTAAAAAGTATAAAATGATAACGTGAATTTATATTTTTGATTGAATAATTAATAAATTTATAAATTAACATTACAATATATTATAATATATATATTTTTTATTTAAAATAAAATCAAATATTAAGATTTTTTTTTATATATTTCTATAAAAATATACTTAAATAAATATTTTAAAAAACAAATTATTAATATTTTAAAATAAATAAAAAAAAAAACTTAATTTTATTATATCTTAATTTAAAATAAAATATTTACTTATTTGTAATATTTTTAACTTTAATTTATATGAAAATATTAAAAAAATAATTTTTTATCTTAAAATATCATTTATATGTAAATTCTAATTAATATATAATAATAATTAAAAATATATATATTTTTTTTAATTTATATCATTGAAACCTTTTTTATTTAATTTTCATATTTCATATACTCTATAACATCCTTAATTCAATCCACAATCGATAAATAGTTAGTTAAATTCATTATTTTAATCAACAATAAATCTAATAACGCTTAATTAAACATCCATTTCAAATTAATTAGTAAGAAAATATAATAAATTACTTACACATTATTTTGAAAAATCATCGTCTTCTTTTTTTAAAAAAATAATATCATAAACATAGATTACATTTCCAAATCTCCAATCTGAAATTTCATAGAATGTACAAAAAAATCCAATCAAATTTCCTAAGTAAAAAATGCAAAAGATATTTCCTAAGCTTTGATTTTCGGTTAAATAGTTAAGACTACTTTACAATTTATCTAAATCTAAGCTTTATTTATTTTCTTTGTTCATTAAACTGATAGAATCTTTACTTTTAATACAATTTAAAAATTGATTTGTATAGTTTTAATTAAATATTTTTATCTAAAAGTTTTCGTATTTAACAAAAGAATTATTGTTTTTATCAAAATATAAATCTTTTTCGATAAATATTTCATTTGTATCAAACATTCCTAATTACTTATATACTTATATCGCTTTAAAGTTATGAACTTCAACATAAAGCCTTAAAGGCATATTCCTTTATTATTATTTACCCATCTCTACTATTTATTTGAATATATTTTTAAATATAGATTGCTTTCGTGCTTTTTTTACAACATAAGCACTTTAGAACCACCAAACATTTGTATTTCTATATATATTATAAGAATCTGTTATTAAAATTGAAGAAATTAGTTCACCTTAATCATTTTCACCCATTGTTATAAAACCTAATTTCGGATTATTTTAGATGTATTTTATTGCTTATGTTACTAAATCTATATTTAATTCTTTTTATTCTGTTTCTAAGGCCATGTTATATTAAAATTGTGCCATTATTTCTTCTTCATTATGTTTTAATCGCCTATATATAACATTTGTTTACTTTATAGTTTCTTCTATTTTATCTTGAGATATATTTTAACAAATCATACTTATTTTTTTAGAATCTTTTTCTAAAAGATACTTTTTAAAAAAATTAGATATAATCTAATATATTTTATTTATTTAATAATAGTAATAGTTATTTATATAAATTTATAAATATTTTAAGATATTATATCATTTTTAAAAACTAATTTCTTCTTCATATGAAAGAATAAAAATGTGCAAATATTTCTAAATTAAAATGTAGAAAAATGTGAATTGATTAAACAATTATATCCTTTATAAATTAATTAATCATTTTATTATGAAAGACTTAAAATTCAAATATTAAATTTAAAAATACATTAAAATGTAAAAAATTCAATTTGTAAAAAGAATATTTAAATATATTCTTTTTTGATTTTTATAAATATATATATTATTTATCTATATGTTAATAAATTTTGAGTATTTATAATATAATGTATTTTTTACCTTATTATACAATAATATGAATATAATAGTTATTTTATTATTAAAATAAAATTGAAATATTTTTCCTTTAAATAGATAAAAATAAATATAATATAAAAATGTATATATATAAGGTCAAATTTAATTTTTTTTTTTTTTTATATTAAATAAAATTTGTAATTTATATAGTTAATAGGATGTATTAATTATTTTTATATTAATTCAAAATATTTTAATTTTTTATTTTATTATTATTAAATTTATTATAAATTAACATTAAAAAAAAAGTATTTTTCAAGTTAATATAAAATATAAAATATAATTTTTTTTTAAAAAAAAAAAATCTAAAAAAATAATATCTAAATAATTAATATTATTTTTTAAAGACCAAAATTATAAAATAATACATAAATAATGTAAAAAGGAAAAATAAAAACTCGTAAAAGAAAATTAATAAAAAAAAAAAATTTATTATAAATAATAAAAAATATAAAAAAAATTCAAAAAATAATTCAAAAAAATTCAAAATGGCAATTTCATTTGAATTTTCACTTGCACTAATATTCGTATCTTGCGGACTTGGGTTAATTTGGTCATTATTCAATTTGTTATAAGTAAGAAAAGTTGACTTAAATAGTTAAGAAGAAGAACGAAATGAAAGGTTAAACACTACTGAAGGTAAAGATAAAATAAATAATTTACTAGACATAGGATCAAAGATTTCTAATGGAGCAAAAGCTTTCTTGTATGCTGAATATTAATATTGTGCTATAGTACTTATAATTATGGCTATTATCCTTTATTTTGCAGTAGATAGTACTTCTCGTGATAAATGGAGACCTTTTTCAGCTATATCTTTCTTAATTGGTGCCACAACATCAATAGGATGTGGATACGCAGCAATGATGATTGCTGTGTCAGCAAATTATAGAACTTCTTTTTCTGCATAAAAAGGATTAGCTGAGGCTTATAAAATAGCACTCGCTGCAGGTGTATCTATGGGATTTTTCATTGTTTCAGGAGCTTTATTTACTTTGACATTATTGATTGTTATTTATAAATATATTTATTTGGGAAAAGAAAAAAATTTCATTTATAACTCATTAGATGAAAAAAGTAACAAGATTGGTGATTTATTTGAATTTGTTGCTGGTTATGGCCTTGGTGGATCTACTGTTGGACTTTTCGGCAGAGTTGGTGGCGGTATTTATACTAAAGCTGCAGATGTTGGTGCTGATTTAGTAGGAAAAGTTGAATAAGATTTACCTGAAGATTCTCCTAGAAATCCTGCTACTATTGCCGATAATGTAGGTGATAATGTAGGTGATGTTGCAGGTATGGGTGCTGATTTATTCGGTTCTTTTGCTGAGTCAACTTGTGCTGCTTTAGTTATATCTGGAAAATCAATGATTGATAGTGATAGATAATTCCATTTAGACAATATGATGTTTCCTTTGATGATTTCAGCTTTTGGTATTCTATGTTGTATTATTGTTTCTGCTTATGGTGTTTACATAAATAGAGTAACTGAAGAAAGTGAAATAGAAAGTTCTTTAAAAAATTAACTTGTTCTTTCTACAGTCTTACTTACTCCAGTAATTATTGGTATTGCTTATATGAATCTTCCTAAAGAATTCACAATTCAAATCCGTCTTGATCAGGAAATTCTTGTATTTAATAAAAGACCTTATCATGGTTTCATTTGTGTCCTTGTTGGTTTATGGGCTGGTTTGGCTATTGGTTATATTACTGAATATATGACCTCCCATTCTTATAGTCCTGTTAGAGAAGTCGCTGCTTCTTGCAGAACTGGTGCTGCTACTAATATTATTTATGGTTTAGCTTTAGGTTATAACTCTACTATTATACCTATCTTAGCTATTGCTGTTTCTGCTTACGTTTCTATTAAATTGTTGGGTTTTTATGGAGTCGCTCTTGCTGCTCTTGGTATGCTTTCGAATCTACCTATTGGATTAGCTATTGATGGCTACGGACCTATTTCTGATAATGCTGGTGGTATTGCTGAAATGGCTGAATTAGGCGAACATATTAGATAAAGAACTGATGCTTTGGATGCTGCTGGTAATACTACTGCTGCTATTGGTAAAGGTTTTGCTATTGGATCTGCTGCACTTGTATCTTTAAGTTTATATGGAGGGTTCATTACTAATGCTTCTTCTTATTCTAATGGACCAATTGTACCTGATATTACTCAACCATTGGTATTTGCTTCTCTTATTATCGGAGCTATGTTGCCTTATGCCTTTTCTGCTTTCACAATGAAATCTGTAGGAAAGGCTGCCTTAGAAATGGTAGAAGAAATCAGAAGATAAATTAGAGAAGATAGAGGTATTATTACTGGTGAATCTGAACCTGATTATTAAAAATGTATTATGATTTCTACTAACGCTTCTCTTAAAGAAATGATTCTTCCTGCTTTATTGGTCATTATTTCACCACTTGCGGTAAAAAAAAAAAAAAAAAATTATATATTTTTTTTATTTTTAGACTGGTCTCTTATTTGGACCTTTGGGTGTAGCTGGTTTATTACCTGGAGCTCTTGTTTCTGGGGTTCAAATGGCTATTTCAGCTTCTAATACTGGTGGTGCTTGGGATAATGCCAAAAAATATATTGAAGGTGGAAATTTAGTTGATGATAATGGTGAAATAAAAAAAAAAGGTTCTGATGAGCATAAAGCTGCTGTTATTGGTGATACTGTTGGTGATCCATTGAAAGATACTTCTGGTCCTGCTCTTAATATTTTAGTTAAACTTATGGCTATTATTTCTTTAGTTTTCGCTAACTTTTTCTGTAAAACTGGTTTTTTAAATAAACCTTTCAATGATTGAGAGTTTATTTAAAAATTTGACAAAATAAATTTTTATTTTTATAAGTATATATTATTTTTATTTTTGAGAAATTTCAAATTTTTTATTTTTATAAAATGGTTAATAAGATTTTTTTTAAATAAATAAAATATGATTTTAAAAATAAAAACATATGATAGGCATTGAAAAATTAGTATAAAATAGCTTATTTTATATTAAAATAATAATTAGGTACTAAAAAACAAATAAAAAAATAAAGTTTTACACATAAAAATATAATGTTCATAAAATCGTTTTAAATGTAAATAAAATTCTGAAAATATATAAAACTTAATAAAATAAGAAATATAAAAATAAAATTCTTAATTATGATTGTAGTTTCATAACAAACAATAAAGAATTTAAAATTTATCGATGAATATCAATATTAAATTTTCTTAAATAAAACAAAAACGAGTTAAATTTCAAGCAAAATTTAAAATTATACAAAAGAATATGAAATTATTATTTGAACAATTAAATTATTTTAGAATTAATAAAATAAAAATGATGAATATAACTATTTCAGTGTTTCATATTTATAAATTATTCAAAAAATGATAATTTTTAAAATTTAGAGTAAGGGTAAGTATAAAGTCTTTTATTTTAATTTGATTTTTTTGTATTTAAATAGGATTTTACATTTTTATATTATTTTTGAAGTGGGAATAAAGTTGTGATATTAAAAAAGCAAATCCAATATTTTTTTTACTTTTTTTGAAGGGAAGCATACATTAAAAATGTTGAACTGAAAAATAATCTTTTATGCTAGGAATTCAATATTTAAAGAAAATAAAAATAATGCTTAAAAATATAGTTGAAAAAAGTAAATATAAATTTAAATATTGTTATTTTTTCATTTTATATTGATGAAGGTAATAATACAAATAACTATATATCACATTATAAAATTGAATAAGTTAATTTAGAATTAGATTTTATAAGCATAATAACTATAGAGAAAAAATTCTGCAAAAATTGAAAATAAAAAAAAGTGTTTAATTATCTATGATATCGGAAAAAGATAATGAAGAAGTTAAATCATGATAATAATATAATTTAGAAAATAAAAAAATAAAATTAGTCGTGAATATTTATAAAAAGTAAAACAAAAAAATGTTTGATGATAATAATAAAAAATCTATAAATCAAAATACAAATAAAATAATAGTTATATATGTTATTTCTTTTTAATTAAAGAATGCATTATTTATAAAATTTGAATAATATTTTTTTAAAATTAATATTTATTTAATAAGATAATAAGGTTTTTTTTTATTTTGGAATGATTGAAAAATATTTCTTGTTATATTGTTTTTTTATTTTATTTTATTTTTTAAATTCAATTAAAAATGAATAGAAAAGACATATATTTATTTTTTCTCACATTTTTAATATTGCTTATAAAGTTTTTTTATAAAATTACAAAAAAAATATATAAAAAAAAAAAGAAATAATATTATAAATCTTATTTTATATAAATTATTATACTAAAATAATTATTATATATAATTACTTTATTGAAATAAAAAATTTATAATTATAACGAGTTCCAAGTAATTTTTTTTTATTCATCTACTATTATTATATAAAAAATAATTATATTTTAAAATGTTTTAATACATTATATAATAATTATTTTTTAAAAAAATATAAAGGTTTAACGATATAATTTGAATAAAATGAAAAATTAAAAACTAATTATATAAAATAATATACAATAAAAATACAAAACAAACCTAAATTTTTACTATACGAGAGCAATTAACGATATAATAAATAATTAATATTCGTATAACGTAACAAAATATAAAGAACTTCTTTTTTAAATAGATGAAAGCGAATATTTTAAGCGATTTTATTTTTAATATGAATAATAACAAAAATTTTAGCAATTATTATATATTTATTAAGCATTTTAGAATAATTGGTATTAAGAAACTCCGATATTTTATAAAAAAGGTGCATAATATATAATCCAAAGACGAAATATAAAAATAAAATAAATAAAAGAGAAAAAATTATAATTTAAAGACTCTTTTTTCAATGAATAGAAAGAATATAAAAATATGAATATTTTAGAAAAAATAAACTTTGAGAGTAATGATTACTAAATAAATTTTCATAATACATTTTTAAATTAAAATTAATTTTTTTATATGAAAAATTAATAAGATGATATATATTAATTAAATAATTATGAAAATGAATAAAGTGAAGAGTCTTATTACAGTTATTCAGAATAAGAAAATGATATTAAATAATAGATTAGTTTTAATAGTTCTACTTTTGATATTTATAATCCATCATTTTCAAATGAAAAGCCTTGTATAGATGATTAGAATTAATATTAATTCAAATTTTTAAATGAGGATGAAATTTCTAAATAGTATGTTATAGAGGAAAAGAAAAATAAAGATGATTTTAATTCAAAATAATTAGAAAGTTTTCTGTTTTTTTAATAAAATTTTAATTAGAATAAAAGATATAACTAAATAATAAATAATTACTAATAAAAATTGAAAATATCTAATTAATCTTTAATTAATTCAAATACAATAAATAATTATAGTACTTAAATTGCTTAAAATAATATTAATAATTTGATTGAAGAACCGAAAAATTAAGAAAATAGCAATAATAATATATTATTAAGTAAGTAGTAAATATTTTTGAAAAAAATATAAAATAAAACATTTAAGTTAATTCAAAATAAAATGCAGAGTAACTAAAATTAGAAAGAAAATTTAATCGATAATTATAAAACAGTTTAAAGAAATGAAAATAATATAAATAATTAAAATTCGTAAAACTATAAAAGAATAAATAATTTGATAAAACCTTATTTAAATGAAATTAATTTTTTATCTAATTAAAAATTTAAATCTGTAAAAAATATAAATAAAGAAGATTTGTAGTAATTCTCTTCTTAAAAGAAGTATAATTTTAATAGTTAAAATAAATAATTTCATTAATATTTAATAAAATCTGATTATTAAAACCATATTAAAAATGTCATTTAAAAATAAACTACTAACTAATCAAACTAATCATAAGAAGTGTTTAGAAAAAATCTATCAGAAAAAAAAAATCAAAGATAAAAACAAAAAATATAAACTTAATTATAGTTTTCCTAAACTCTTAATTTATTGACAAATATAGATTTATACAATCATATTAAAAATAAAAAAAAAACAAAAAAAATCTTTACTAATCTTAAACAAATTTTCATTTATAAGTCAATCATAATAAAAGTAAAAAATTACATATTTTTTTTTAATTTATTTATTTAATTAAATAGATAATATTTCATGTTAATAACATAAAATATAGTTAAATAATAAAAAATATGACTTTTAAAATATAAATTATGAAAATTAATAAGCTAGTTAAAATGGTTCTAAGAAAAAAACATTACCTGATTAAAAAGATATGTTAAAAATTTAATATTTAAAAAAATTTTAGAATAATCAGGATAAATTAATATCAAATAAATTAAATTCTTAATCATAAAAATTAAATGGAAATTTTATCTTATAAAAAATTTTCAAGAATAATATTAATAATTCGTAAAATAAATTAATATAAATTTTAAAAAAAAACTAAAATTGAAATTTTTTTATATAATGTAAGTTATATAACTATTAAATATTTTTTTGTTATTATTTAATTTTTAAATATACTAATATATAATATTGAGTTAAATTAATTTTAATTAATTATAATTTATTTCTTATTAATATTTAAATATCTTGAATAAAGAATGTCAATTTTTATAAAATTAATTATATATATTTAATTTTCATATTTAACATTAATTTATTTACTTTTTTTTTATGTTAATAAGCTTATTATTAAAATATTTTTTTTTATTTAAATTAATTAATAAAATAAAATTATTTATTAAAATTAAAATTTATTTTAAACTTAATATTATAGAAATAATATATACCAAATTAAAAAAATTAAGATTAAATAAAAATAATTATTAATTTACTTTAAAAATAAAATATAAATATTTAAAATTAATGATATTTTATTTAATGGCTAAATAACATAATAAAAAATAGCAATAAATAAAAAAAAAATACAAACAAACAAAAAATATCAATAAAATATATTTTTAAATTATCTTAAAAATCATTAAGTGAATTTTTTATAATTATCTGCATTTCTACCCAAAATATTGTCAACAGGTCCAAGTAATCGTTTAAAAGCTTATCTTTCTAAACTAGCTAATTTAACATCAGTTATACATTTAATACTAGCTTATCTTGGGCAATTTTTAAGTAAAGCTAATTCTCCAAAGTAATCACCAGGTTTATAATCTTTAACAGGAGTTTCGACTCCATTAACATTTTTGAAAGCTTGAAGTTATCCTTCCTCGACCATAAAGAAATCATCTCCATTATCGCCTTCTTTAATCACATAAGAATGAGATTTGAAAGTAGTGGATTTGATAGCATCAGCAATTTTGGATCTTTCATATTAATCCATATCTTTGAGTAATTCAACAGATTAAAGGAAATTTTCATACATTTCCCTTTTCTTCGCAGCTGCATCTTTTACAATATTATTAAATGTATCTCTATCTAAAGAATATAATACTGAATCAGTTTTAGAAATAATAGAAGCTGCCCTTGGAGTATTGTAAAGAAGGGCTAATTCTCCAAATGATTCGGAAGGTTAATAAGTTTTCAAATATGTAGGAGCATCACCTTTCTTGAAGATTTTAAAACAATCCAATTCTCCTTCATCAACAAAATATAAAACATCACCATCATCTCCTTATTATATTACTGTTTATCCTGCTTTAAAACGTTTCTCTTCCATTGCATCGATTACTATTTTTCGCTAGTTCTCGTCTAATGCAGAAAACATAAAAGCTTGTTGTAATCTTTAGGTTATTTTTTGGGTTTACTCTGGTCGCTTCTGTATTATTTTTGGTTTAAATGGTTTCTTCGGATTAAATTGTCCAAATACTTCCGCAGATACTGATGAACGACTTGATGGAGTCTTACCTGTTTGTGATTTTCTTTTAATTATTTCGTCACATAAATCGTCATCTTCTTCTTCGCTGGAAGGGTGGTCTTCGTGTTTGTGGGATTTTTTGTCCATTTATTGTTTTTTTATATATTATTTTTTTTTTTTAATTTTTTTATTTTCTTATTTCTTTTTTAGGTAATTTTTTTTTTTTTTCTTTTAATAGTATTATTTAATAAAATATAATTATTAATTATTGTTTTTTTATTGTTATTATTTTTATTTTATTTGTATTTGCGTATTATATAGAAGATTTTTATTGTTTTATTATATTTTTATATTAATAGATTTTTTTAAAATAAACAAAATTGAATATAAATATATAATATATTTGTCTGTTCCAGAAAAATAAGTATTATAATTATTTAGGAATATATATCACATTATTAAATTATATTTAAATTAAAATAAATTATTTTTGTTAATAATTATTATATAAAATAAATATTTTATATTATTATTAATAAAGCTTTCAATATATAATATATTTTTATATTCTTATATTATTAATATTTATACTATGTATCTTTATAAATATTAATTTAAAAATATATAAATAAATAAATTATTAATTAAATGTAATTATATTAATTATGTTTCTTATAATTTTGGTTTTTTGCTTTTAAGTATTTTTTTTTTATTTAAAATTGTTAATTGAATTTATAATATGTAAATATTTATATAATATTATTTTAAAAATAAACAATATAAATTTATATGCGCATATATAAAATTATGAAGAATATATAATTATAAAATTAAAAAAAAAACAAATTAAAATAATAAAAATAAATATTACATTAAAACTAAAACCAATTAAATTTATATTATATAACAACAATAATTTGATGTATTTTATTTAAAACAAATGCATTAAATTTCTGATATTATAATTAATAGTAATTATACTTAACATTATTTCTTTTTTTTTAATTTTTTCTTCTTCCCAAGGAAAGTTAAATCCTGTTGGAATAATCCTAAATTAAATTACTATTAGTTTCCACTCCAAAATACCAGTTCACATCCATTATTAAAATGAATTAACGTGGACTTCACTTCAGCAGGGGAGTAGGATAACTTGTTATATTGCAATCAACTTAATATTTTGTAGGATATGGCTTTTATTAATATTAAGAATTAGAATATATTAGTTTTTGATAATTATACAAACATTTTTTACTAAACTGCTATATTATTAAAATTTTTTTTTGACTAAAATATATTTTATTATTATTATTTAAATGGCAGAAACATAATAATTTTAATAATATATTATTATGCATTTGTATTTTTTATTCTTTATTAATATATTATTTTAATTTTTTATTTAAATCAAGTATTTTGTTTTTCTTTTTAATTTTTTATTAATAATATTTATAAATATTAAAAAACTGTCTTTAATGTTATTGCTTTTATATAAATAAAGCTTTATTATATTAGTTTATTTCGAAGACTTAAAGATAAATAATAATTTATAAATGTTATACGAATAACTCAAATAATGATTTTTTATTTTTATATGTAAAAACATTTAATAGTTTAGCTTCTTTATCTTCTTCATTAATAATTATTTTTAATAGGATTTTAATTTTTATGTCGATCGAATTAAAGAAATTACTATTCTTTCTGCTAAGTAATCGTTTAAATAGTAACTTCGTTTTATTTTTATACATTTTCATTCTAATTTTTCAATTTAAATTCAGAATTTTCAATTAAACCAAAATTAATGTTTTTTTTAGGGGTAAAAATATTTTAATTATTATTGCTTTAAATAAATTAAAAAGTAGAAACATTTTGGCTTTATACTTAAGGAACATCCGCCTTATTTTCAACTATTTAATAAGATAGTAAACTTTATTCAGAAATTTAATTGTGAGAAAGGCTTGTTTTAGTTATATTTTTATTAAAACTATTCAAAACTATTTTCTCATTTTTATTTGGTATAAAATTCATACTGCTTAAATTGTTATAAATTATTTCATTTTAAAATTTATCATTTATTTATTTATTTTATTTTAATTATGTGTTTTGTTAATTTTCTTATTAAAAAGCAAATTAACATTATTTATTCTTATAGTGATCGTATTAATTTATATTATTTTTTGTATAATTTTATTTAGTACCTATTTATTAATAAGTGTTTTTTTGAGATTTTTAAAATACTTGTTTTTATCCTTAATATTTATTTTCCTCATGTATTTCTTCTCCTTAGATTTTCTATTATTCAGTTTATTCCAAATTATTATTTAAAGTAAAGTTTTCTGGATAATTACCTTAATATATTGTAGAACTTCTATTTTTTTATTTTTAAAAAAATTCCTTTTCTTTTTCACAGTAAGGAGAATTAAACTTGGTATCATTATAAATGTTCTTATTTACTACAAAATCATTTATAAAATTATTTTATATAAAAGAGTTTTTTTTATTGGAAATTTGTTATATTTAAAAATTTTTTGAAATACTATTTATTTTCTATTAAGGAGAATGCTGCTGAATTTAAATAACTTATTTTTGTTCATCACGTAATCTTTATTCTAAAATTTTGAAATCTTTATATTTTTCTAAAATAATTTAAGGATCAAATGTAATTAAATTAAACTCTTTATAATTGCTTTTAATTAAATCAATATTATCTAATAATTAGAAACTAGAAAATCTTTAATTTTCATCCATTGAGACCATTTTGGCAATAATAAAAGCTAAATTCGTAGAAAATTTTCTTTATACTAATTACAAAGAGTTCATAATTTTAATTTTATCCATATTAAAATAAGTAAAATCATAAAATTTTCTAATATCAACGACTTAACACATTTATAATGCAACTATTCCTAAAGAAAAAATATCACTTTTTTAAATATCCCAATTTACTTTTTTATTAGATCTGTTTTTTAATTAATAAAATTATTGAAGAGATAAATAACAATATTCATTTTGATTTAAAATTTATTTTGTAAACGCATTTTCTTCATTATTCATAAATTTTGAATCTGCAAGTATATAGTTTTCATATTTATATTATTCTCTTTAATCTATTATTATTGTATTTGATCTTATATATTCATGTGTTTAATTATTCTTTTCTAAAAATATTAAGGTTTTACTTATTTATTCAAGCATTCTTAATATTTGATTTTCTGTAAATTATTAATTTTCTTTTAATATTGCATCTTCTATTGTTTTACTATGATATTCATAAAGAATATATATTTTGTAATTCTAATTAAAAATTTCTTTTTATAAAACATAATGAACTTTTAATAATTTAATTAGATTTGGAAACGTTTATTATTATCTTTATATTATTTAGGTTTTAATATTTTCAAATTAAACTTAAGTATTTATTAATCTTGTTTTCAATAAGAAAAAAGTAATTTATTTGGAATCTTTGCCACATAATAATTAGGATTCGCCATATAGATCGTTATTTATATTTCTTGATAACAAAAAATAATTATAAATGTCAAACTATTAAATTTGAAGTTCTTATTCTCCTTAATTACATGAAATTATATTATTACCCATTAAAATTTTATATTAAATTTATTATAGACTTATATAAAAATAATATAATTTATTAATTTATAATAAAAAACATATAAATAATATTATATTATTTCTATTTTTAAAACTAAATATATAGTATGTTTACAAATTCTTTTAATTTTAATTATATCAACTATGTGATTTATTTCATATATAAATTTTATTTTTATTTATTAAAATAAAATTATATAAATATTATTAGTATTTTATTTAATAAAAAAAATTAATTTTATATTATAGAAAATTATTTTAAAATATTAATACAATAATTAAATATAAAACAGTTATTATATTTATATAATAATCATTCTCCTTATAAATAGAAAACCCAAGGAGGATAATCGAATTTTTCTAATAAAAAATAAATATATAATATTATAAAATGTATACCTGCTTATATAGTTAGTCTCCCATTTGAAGAATTTCCAGCAACAGGTTTATATTAAATAGCGAAATTAATGTTTTTTTTAGCCTAAAAAGTAAAAAAATATAAAAATATTAAGAAAAAAAAAATACATCAATTTTAACAGGATTCTTAACATTTAAAACGAAGCTGGTATTATCTATTCTAATAGTAAATTCACAAGGTTCAAAGAAAGGATTTTTAAATTCAATAGGAGGAGGCTTCGGTCCTGATATTTTGAAAGGGCCCTTAGGTTAAGGAGCAGATGATAATCCGTGTAACATGCAAGTATATTCTCCCCCTTCCGGGCTATTAATAATAAGAATAGCTGTGCTTTCTCCCAAAACAGAAGGTTCATATTTAATATTTACACTTAACTCATTTCCATCTGTACTATCAGACGGAGGAGCAATTATGGTAGGTTATTATTATTCTATATAAAAATCTACTTGGATAGGAGGTTACTTAGCTTTGGGGTCTACAGGAGCAACTCGACCTAATCTATCAATTCTGCAAGTATAAGTTGTTTACTTTTTACAATAATTTATAAATTTAAATGATTAAACAGTATCAAAGCCTAAATAAGTTTTCATCGTAAGACTTCTAGGGATAGTGGAAAGAGGAACTCCTTTTAAAATTAATTAATATACTGATTAACCTAATTCATGTGAGTTTAGTATGACTTTTGATTATTCTTCTTTTACTAATAATGGTCTGAATATTATTTCAAAACCGAATTCCTTTATTTTTTTTCATTATGTTTTTATAAAAAAAAAAAAAAAAATTATTACTGAATTTGGTGGTATTTTAAATGAAGTAGGATTTATAGTTATATTATCATTATCTGATGTAAACATTTCTTTTGTTATTTAGACTGGTATATTTAATGGATTTATTATTGTTATTAATTTAATTGAAGTTTCTCTTATAAATGCTGACATTTCGATTTTTTCCATTATATCGGCAGGTTATATATTAAGATTCTATTATTTATTTTATTTTATTATATTATATTTTTATAAAATAATATATTATATTTTACTATTTTGAAATGAATATATTCAAAAGTTTCTGTATTTTTGAAATAAACAGTAAGGTTTGTTGATAATTATTTTAAACAAAAGAAATTCATTTTATATTCTTTTGTAGTTTCGCCAGGTACATCAATAACATTGGCTCCAGAAATAAATATAGAGGAATCTTAATTATCCAAAACCCAATTAACCGAAAACCTTTGGGTTTTTTTAAGCCAATTCCTGATAGGAATAATTTACATATAAGAATGCTTTGCTTTAGTAACTATATCGAAAGTTTATAAAGGATTAGGAAGCAGTGCTTATCCATAAAGATTATATAAAATCGCATTTCCATCAGGTAAAGGAAAGAATAAAGTAGCTTCATGTTGAATATCTTTAATTTAAGGTATTTCATTATTCGCGGTCATTGTAAGAGGATTATAAGTTATTTCATATTCTGATGTACCATTTGGAGGAATTTCCAGTATTTCTTTTCCTGTAAAATATCCCTTTATATTCGGTTTGTTGCAATTTATAGAAACTTTAATCCTGCATTGTTCGGAGATGGGATTTTTAACTAAAACTTTCTATTTGGTAGTAGTTCGGACTAATGTAGAAAATTTCAAGTCTTAAATTTGCTCTTTTGGTTAGGGAATACATTTTCCTAATAAGTTAATGTATAAAGGGTTAGAACCTTCTATATTGCATTTAACTTTACTGAAATGAATATCATTATCTATTAGATTAGGATGGAAAGTAATTGTGAAGAAAATATCCTCATGTGGAGGAAGGAAACCTTTTTCAGGAGAAATAGAAAAGTAATTTTTACAGAATTGGAAATCCCATTCAAATTTAGTTCCTATATCTCCTAAATTAGTTAATTAAATGACTTTTGTTTTAATCGAATTAATTACAACAACTCCGAATCCAATGGTATCTTCCATTAGTTTGAGTTCAACTCCATGGCATAAAGCAGTGAGATTTAAAAGTTTTTTTTTTTCTTAATTTTCAACTATTTTGTAAAAGAGCTCCTTTTTAAATTAATGCAAACGTAATTCAGGATGGAAAGTTATTTCTATGTCTTTTATTTCTCGAGGAAGTATTTAAAATTCATTACTAGGAGTTACATGTATATATGTTTTGGCCAATTCAGAAAGCTGATCTTCTACATCGAAAGTTATTGTTATTGGTTTTCTGGATTAATTTGATACTTTTACAATTTTCGAGCTTTCGTCTTTTACACGGACTACTCCAAAGTCAATATTTTAATCTTGAGAATTTTCTAGTTCAAGCTTCAAAGGAACTCCTTCTCCGAAAATTCGTACATCTATAGTATGCAAACCGTTAATATTAAAAGTGAGAGTTTCTTCGTATTTCTTGCTTTCTCTTGGAGTAAATATTATTGGGATTTTCAGTATGTTATTTTCTTTGGTTTAGAGAATTCCTTTTTTGTCTTAAAATGAATCCACTTGTAGAGGTAAAATTACTTATCCTGGAGGCAAATTAACATCTAAATAATTAGTTTTTTCGAAATTTTAAGTTTCTATAGACATTGCAGACACATCTTTATTTTTGACTTCCAAAAATGCTGTTATTGGAAGTGGTTGCCTGAAAACATATTAAGGACCGAAATCAAAAGAAAGAAAAGAAAATTCTACTCCAGGTTTTTTAGCATTGGCTTGTAATCTAAAAGTATAAGAAGGGCCTGAAGAAATATTTAAAGTAAAAGACTATTTGAAAGTAAGCTTGGTTTCGGTTAAAGGAGAGAACTTTACTTCTATTTAAAATCGCTCATTTTATTTCACTGTACCGTTTTCAGGAGTAATTTATATGAAAGGAAGATGAAGAAGCTTTTTTATTGAAAAGTCAAAGTTAAATTCTCCTGAATTCTCTATTTCGATTATTTTTGAACGTTTTTCATTCACATACATATCACCTAAGTTTATAATATGCTACATTTCAGAATCTAAAGGAGTATTTGGGTATTGCTGTAAATATACAGAGTGATGCAATATATATCCAATTCCTTTGACATTTAATGAAATTGGTCTTTATTTCCTTTTTACATTACACTAAATGTTGTAATTGAATTAGAGTTCTACTTTTGGCATAAAACATATTTCAATTGTTAATTCAGATTATGCATTTACTATGCCTTGCATAGGAAATACTTATAAAGAGTCGAAATATTCAGGTTCTCCTTTAATAGAATCTTTATAAAAAGAAAAAGGAATGGGAACAGTTTCCAAGTTTTTAATTTTTATTAATTCTTTATTCTTTCCTCCTATAAGAAGTGGACCAAAGTTGACTTTTCCAACATCGAAAAATACATTTGGCTCATTTACTGTTCCAACAATAAGGAAATTTTAGACAATTTTTTAAGATGGAATTTCAAAATACCAATAAGACTCGTGATTTCCAGTCGAATCAGGTGCATATTCGAAGATCATTTCGAATTTTTTACCGCTTAAAACTACACCTTTTTATGTTTGGCATTTAAAAAAATTATCGTTTTGGACGTTTGCACCTGCTGGTAATTTATATTCTTCAATTTTTTTCCATTCGAATTCATAACCATATGCTGTTGGGTTTACTACATAAAATTTCTTTGTATTTTTTACTTTTGTGCCTAAACTTTCGAATTCTATTATATTAAAAGATTTATCTAATTCAGGTTTTTTATCACGATAATTTGTAGGCTACAATTCGAAATGACAAATAGGTCTTTCTGTTTCTCCTTCTAATGTAATTACTAAAGGTTCAAGTTATTTATCGAGATTTTCAATAGAAATAATTAGGAATCTTTCGTTTTTATCAAACACTTCTGTAGGAGAAAATTTAACAGTAAACTATTCATCGCAAGAGGGGGATATGGTACCTTATTTAGGATTTATATAGAAAAATCCAGGATCTATAATTGGTTAATTTGTTTCTTCGTCGTATTTAATAATAGTGCATGTATAATTAAAAGGAATAAGGGATATGTTTTTTACATTGAAAATGTAATTTCGGGAAGTATACATTAATGTTGGTTTGAAGAAGATTTCTTTGCTTTAAATTTCGTATTTTGAGTAATCAGATATGCCTGATACTTTTAGAGTGATGTTTTTGTCTGTTTTTTCTATAGTTATGTTCATGGGTTCTTCAATTGGTTCTTAATACTCTATATTTGCTTCTTCTTCTTGTAAACGGGCAGGAGGTTTATCATCTTTTGGTTCATCGCCTTTTTTTTTTTTTTCAGCAGGCTTTTTTGCACCTTTTTTGCCTAAAGCTGCTAAAGCTTCTTCTTCTCTTCTTTTAGTATTAGCTTCTTCGCTTTTTTTAACGTACCAATCAAATTCTCTTTAGGTAACAAGAAGAGTTCTAGACATAGAATCATCCCAATCAATAAAAGGAATAGGAGGAAGATTTAATAAATCTTTTTAATTTTTGATTTAAAAGTCTTCGATCGATCCAACTTATTTCAAATGTTTAGTCTCTAAAATCAAAGCGAAATTCTTATGTGTAGTTGGTTTATTTCCTTTGAAATATAGTGTAATAAACTTCGAAGATTTGGCTTATAAATGACCTGTTCTTGGTACAAAGGTAAAATCTTCACAACCTTGGGTATTCCAATTGAATTTTATATGCTCTGATTTGTTGTTTTTGATAAAAAATCCGCATTTCTTTTCTTCTTATATTATGCAGTTTGAGAAATTTATTTCATCTTCTAAGTCTTCAGGAAGACCTTCTAATACTATATCTTCGTAATATCCTTCACCTTGAATCATAAATTTAGTTATTTCGTAAGGATTTAATAATGTTTGTAATTGTATTTACCATTATTTTATGCCTTATTCTTTTGGACAGAAACTTATGTTGAATGTTTTGTAAGATTTAGGAGTTAGCGTGTAACTATTTTGATCTAAAAATTTAAAGTTTTCGTTAGATATTAAATCCCATTTTACTGTGGCGGGAATTTTCCCATCATTTTTAATAATTATGGGTAATATGCAGCTTTTATCGATTCTTACTTTCGGGAACTTCAACATTGGAGTTTGATCGTTGAAATATTCTTTCGGTTTTTCCAATTTTATAGTCGGGAGTGAACCTTCGCCTTTTAAATCAAATACAAGTTTATAAGTTTTTGGATTTTATTCCCCAAATTCGACTATTGCTTCGAAAATTCCACTATATTAAGCCATTATAGTTGGCTTAAAGAAAACTTTAACATAAGTATGTTCATGGGGATGTATTTTGGCTTATTTTTATGCAATTTCAAAAGCGAAAGGTTCAGTGGATTTTTCGTTTCTTTTCCTGACCTCAAATTTGACAGAACAAGGTATTTTATGAGGATTTGAAATTTTGAATTTTTCGAAAATTCCTTCAGGATTTTAAGAGGGTATAAGTGTTCCGAAAAAAAACTGTTTTTCTTCTAAATAAAATACATTGGAATTTATCATTGAAGTGATATTTTAAGCTGCATTTATTGATGGAACGATTATTTATTCTTCGAAAATCTGTTCGAAATCTTCACAATTTATACCAGGTACACAAGATTCACCTACTAATTCATACAAAATTCCATTCGGTTAGTCTTTTGGGTCTCTTCCGCTAATTTCTATTCCTAATTTTTACTCATGGATCATTTGCCCTTGACCGAAAAATTTAAGTTCGATTATGGTAGAACTATCTGGTGGGATAGTTCCTTTGCAAGGATTTACTTAAAATTAATTTACTATTAAAAGAGTTTCTGGTATGTCATTTTTTCCTTTTTTCTTTTTTTCTTGAGCTTTTTTTTCAGGCTTTTTTCCCTTTTTACCGTCTTTTTGGTCTGCTATATCTAATGCGGCTTATAATCGAGCCTCTTTTTCTTTATTCTACTCTTCTTTTATTTATTTGAGAAAAGCTTCATTGAAATAATCAAAAATATTGTAATTAAATTCAAAAAGTCCTTCATTTTTAATTTCTAAAGTAAGCGTTTTTGAATCATTATATTAAATAGGGCCAAAATTAATGCTTTTTAAAGGAGCTATTGCGTATTTGGAAAAAATAGAATTTATTTTTACATTAATAGGTACTGGTTTAAATAATTCAAGTGTTTTTCCCTCTAAAATTTCCATCATAATATCTGTAGTGGAGCTATTTGTATTGAATCTAACTTCACTTTAAGAACAAAATCTTACTAAAATTTATGTTTATTGTTCTGGATTTAATTCAACTTTTTAAGGTTCTATCTTAAAGCTTTCCTTAAAGATCTTCTTTTTCATCACAAATTGGAATTATACTAAATATAAGCCTATGTTTTTAACTGAAAAATAGCAGTCTTTAATATCTCCTACACGAATGTGTCCGAAATCGAGCATATTATCTTAATTATTGTCTGGAAATTTCAATTCTACTGAAATATTGAAGGCTTCTGCTTCTATGGGAATTATTTTGTTTTCTTATCGAATGTTCATATTTTCAACATCTTCTACTTCTAAAGTTAATTAATTAAGGAATTTCTATTATTATATTGCTTTAAAGGTTACATATATGCTGTCTTCTAATGTAGGTTTTAATAGTCCTTCTGTATTATTAAGTTGGAATTCTACAGGAAGTTACTCTATTCCTAAAATGCGCCATCTAACGGGTATTTGTCCGTTATTTTTGAGTTTTATTTCCTTCTAAGATTACTAATTTAATAATTTCCTTTCGAATTTTATAGGACAGCCTTCTATTATGTCAACTATGGGCTTACATCCTAAACACATCATTGGGAGAATTAAAGGCGTAGGATTATCTTTTATCATAATAATTATATCGTCTTTAAATTTTTAAGCAGCATCAGGAATGGCCCAAACTCTTAATTCTTAAGGAATATCATTTTGTTAAATTATCATTTATTAAGGTTCAATAAAAAATATTCCCTTTTTGTATTCTTAGTCAGTTTTTATAGAAGATATTAAAGAGAAAGTTAAATTAGCTTCGTATTTTCCATGATTTGATATTCTAAATGTTGTAGAATTTATTTTCCTTATATCTGGATCTATTTTTTTTTCAGGGTTTTTACCAATTAAAAGGGGACCGAAATCGAATACATTTTCAGATTATACGAATACTTTACTTAAATAACTTTCAGGAGAATTCAAAGGTCTATTTTTTTTGATTTACCAGTATATGTTTTTGGACAAATTCGATATTGTAGGATAGTCCGCAATTGCTTTGATATCTAAAGTATATTTATCAGCTCCAAAGGAATTCTCAAATTCAAGTTTTCCGTCAAAAATTCCTACAGATTTTGTAAAAAAGCGAACCACAAAAATCAATTTCTTTCCTGCGGGAATTATCCATCTGTATCCTTTTTCTTCAAGATCTTCTTTTTTGAATTAATATTATTATGCTTATTTTTATTATTCTGCGAGCATTTTTTTTTCTTGCTCCTCTATAGATAATTCTTAGATGCTAACTCTCCCTCTTTGCCTTGGGTTTGCTGAAGCTATAGGTCTTTTAAGCTTATTTTAAGTGTTTTTATTATTTTCCTTCTAATTATCTAGAGTTTCTTCTACTATATCTTGTAGGTTGTTTATTTCTCGTATGGGGTTTTCTATAGGAGTTAGTATTTGGAAATATTTTAAAGCCTCATTCTAGATTATTTCTTGTCTTTTTTGTTAAATATTTCTTTAAGGTTTCGTTATTATTTAATGATATTCAGGATCTTATACAGGGACTGAAAATGGGTCAGGATAATAAGGTTAAGGAACTATTTTTTATGCATATAATTGCATTTATTAAAAATTATAATGTAAAGGGAATATTGTTTTGGTACGGATTCCTTTCATTAAAAGCTCGGTATAATCTATTATTTCTGGAGGTTATGCAGGGGAAATTTCTTCAGGAATAATTTTACCTTTGGCATCTTTTTTAATAGGCTTTTTTTCCTCTTTTTTACCTTCTAAGAATACTGGATCATGTATGGGAGGATTTTCGATTTTTTCTTTATATTGATTAGTAAAAAGAGATATGAGAGTATTAATTTTTTTATTAAATGCTAATTCTTCTTCAAAATTTTAGAATTAATAAGGCTAGAAAACATCAAAAAGATTATTTTCTTAGATCTCTTCTATTTGTGAATTATCTTAACCTATTTTTTAGATATTTTTTTTCTTTTTAATACTTTAAGTTAATTATTATTTAGTGTCTTTTTTTTTATTCTTTTCATCCTTTTTATTATTTTTTTTCATTTCCTATTCCAATTCCAAAGCCAATAGTTTTTATTTAATTTTCTCTTCTTCTTCTTTTATTACATCTTCCATGCCTTCCCATTCAATCATTTTGTAAATTTCAAATCCCATCTCGTCTAACTCTTTTTAAAAAACTACCATTTACAATTCCTATTCACCAACTGCTTTCATTATGCATTTTAAAGCCATTAATTCAGAACTACAGTATTTTGATATTAATTCATCGAAAATCACTCCTGCATTACATGTAGGATGGATTAATTTTTCGCGAATACATCCTTCTATTATTTCTTCAGGAAGATAATTAAATAATGATGTGTTTATATTGCCCCATTTAGCTTCTAATTCAGGAGCTTTTTTTCCTGCTTTTTTTTTCCATTTTTCTCTTTCCACTATTATTTAATCATATTCTTATTTTTTTTCTTCTAAATATTTTTATGCTTATTCTCCGAATTCGGTTTTATTTAAGATCGAATTTTCTACACATTCATCTATATTTATGATTTATCTCTATTTTAATTTTTTTTTTTTTTATTTGAATAAATATTACCTAATGAATTTCACTTAAATACTTTGCAATTTTAGTTTTGCCACATTTAGGGTGTCCTATAAACACAATATTCACTTTTTTATCGTCAGAGACTTTCTAAGGATATTTAGTTTAAGGAATGATAGTATTTAATTCATCAATTCTTTTTTAATATTCTTCCTCATTTGTGAGATTTTATTTAATTAAATCTTATAATTTTTGAATTTCATCTTGTTTCTCCACATCTTTAGCAATAAAGTCCCATAAATTGTCACCTGGTAACCTCATATTTGCAAATACCTTATCCTGAGTATTAAAAGCTTAATATTTTTACAAAAGCTCTTCTTCTTCCAAATATTTCTTATCAAGTTCCAAACTATAGAGTTCCGTATCATATTCACTATAATTTTTAACTTCAACAACTGCAAAAGCTTATTATTCATAAGGCAAAACAGGTCCAATCTGAATACTTTTTGGCAAAATTTCAAGATTTATTTGCGTTCCTTAACCTTTTGCGTAAAAAACAAAAGGTTTATGATTATCAACGATATTAATAGTGAACTTTTACATATAAACCTTTTCTTAAGAAGGTTCAAAAGTGATATGTAAAACTTGCTTTTGTCCACTTTGTATAGTTCCTGAAATTGGTAGAAGCTAGAATTTTTTTTCATCTTTGTTTTTTTCACTTTATATTAAATCAGCTCGTGTATTTAATGACCATGTACATGGTATTTCCTTTTCATTAAGGAATCTAAGATAGAAAGTTTTTCTTTGTCCGCACAAAACTTTTCCGAAATCAATAATATCTTCCATATTTTCAATTTTTATTTCCGGAATAGTAATATTAGATATAAATTCAATATTATATCTAGCCCCATTTTTTACTTCAATAGGTACTATACATTTACTTTTTCCATATTTAGTCTTAGATTTAGTTTAATAAACTATTTTTAAGATATAATCGTTTCCAGGCTGAATTTTAGGAGGTCTTTCTGTCATAGTATAGCCTGCTAAACGAGCATTTTTTGTATCAATTAAAAGATCAATAGGCTATGTACTATTATTGGTGATTTTAATTTCTTTTTTTTTAGTTGAATTCAAAACTACATTTCCTAAATCACATACAAAATTTGCTAAATAAATATTACTATATAATGTGTTGTCTCCTAATATAACCGTTTAGTTTTTTTTTTGGGATTAATTATTTTAATTTTCTTATTCTAATGTTACTTCTTATTATTATTATTATTATTATTATTGAATTTATTACTAGGCTAGCTTTTCTTCTATCAATCTACAAAAAAACTCTTTATCTAGTTCTTTCATTATTTCTTTTTATATTTATTCTAAACTCTTAATGTTTATATTAGGAATATACTCTTCTCCAATAGATTCGTTGGCCACTTTTTCTAATAAGGCGGCTTATTTTAACATATTTTCTCTTTCGGTTTTTTTTTTTCATATTATGAATTAAATCTTTATATAAACTCTTCGTTATCGGTTCTTTCTAAATCAACGAAAATGGCTGGATAAATTCCTTTTCCAAAAACTAATATATTTTCAGCTTCGAAATAACTTACTTGTACTTGCATAATTTCTCGGAATTCAGAAGGCATTATAGGACATATTTTAATTAGTATTTTCTGTTTTTCTCCTCCTTATATTCTGCCAAATTATGGATTACATTCTATATAATCTTTTCTTTTTACTTTATCATATAAAATCTTAAAATCAAAGGACACTTTACTATTGTTTTCTATATAAAACTCTCTTATAGCCCATTCACAGAATTTCACTTCTCCAAAATCAATATTTTTAGCGGAAATTTTATAAGAAATTAAAGATGAATCCCCAATTAAAATCACTTCATAATTTGGTCCTCCATCTACATGACAAACAGCTGTAGTTTTCATTTTTTGGCCTCCAAAAGCATTATAGACGAACTCAACATCATCTATTTCTCCAGGATTTAAGCTTCCTGACAAAGGAAGAATATCAAAGACTTCATTTACTTAGAGTTTTTTGTTATTATTTTAATTATTCTAGCCTGTATTATTAGCATTTATATACTCTTCTTCGAGGAAAGTCCATTCATAATTAATAGGCATTTCTGAAACATTTTAGATATTTACGCTAATTTTTTTAGAAGTTTCATTTAAAATAGCTCCGAAATTCACTGTATTTTATTCAAATTTTACATTTGGGAAGCAAACTTCGCCTACAAGATCTATAAATTCTCTATGGGGATGATCTACATGTATTATTTATAATTTTCCCAATTATTGTCCTGATATACGGTCTGTTTTTTATCCAGGATCAAAATCTACTTTCACAAAGGTGCTTTCTCCAAATGAAAGAATTAAATTTTCTTTATTAATTGAAAATGGAGGGGACACTTTCAGTGTGAAATTCGTAGAAAGGATAGATGCACATGTAATTTCCAAATTTTTTGATATGGTCATAAAAGGTACATTTTTTTACCATGCATATTTAAAATACAAACGTTTTTCTGAAAACTTTAAGGTTGGTTTTATGAATTCACCATCTAATGTTGTATTGTATAATGTTAGGGTCTTTCTTTCGTTTCCTACTTAACTATTTAACATAAATTATTCTGGGAATCTACCTGTTTTAGTAGAATAAGCTTTGAATTAGAACATTATACCATGTTTAGGTGGTAAAACAACTGTTTCGGGAACTATTGTGTATATATCAGGTTCTTATTATGGTTATTGTTATTATTTATTAGTTATATCTGTTACAGTAATATTTGTTTTTAGTTTATTTACATTGCTATTTTACTATTAAGTATTTTTATCTTCGTTTTTTTTCTTTTCTTGTTTTCTTACCCAAGTTAATTTTTGAGGTCTTCTCCCTTTATTTTCTACAAAAAACTCTTTTGGATAATTCTTATGAGTATACATAGTTTCGAAATCAATATTATTAAGATTGTCTTTGCAATAAATAGTCGAACCAACGCCTTTAGCCTTTAATTAAATATCAATATCTAATCCATCTTTAATTACAAAATGTAAAACATCTTAAAATTTAGAAACTTCATCTGCAGAGCAGACTACTTCAACTTCAGTGGATTCCTAAGGTTTTAATATTCCATATTTCTATATAGGTTTAAATATTGATATTTTATTTTTAGTAAAAACTCTATAATCAGCTTCTATCTTTGATTAGTTTGTTAATGTTAATTTCTTTGAGTAATCATTTAAAACTTCTACTTATCCAAAATCTAGTTCTTTTAGATTTCCTCCGATTTCAACTATAGGGCCTATAGACATAGCTACAATATTAACAATGTAAGGTAGATTATTATTACATCCAACAATAACAATCCCTAAAGGCAAAGTAATATCATTAAGTCTATTAGTAACTAACTTAACTTAAATAGTAGCAGTTGATTAAGGTTCTATAATTCCAGTTTAAGGCTCAACCTCATATTAAGCAAGGATCATGCTTTCTTTTTTTTATTCTTAAATTTCGAACTTTGCTCTTAATTATTTGGAATGATTAATTAATTATAATCCCATAATATCCCTATGTTTAAGAAATATTTCGCCAAAATCAAGCCTATCTTGAGGTTTGATTTCCACTTAAGGCACCTCTGATTCAGCCCTAATAGGAAGGCATTTCATATCTTGGGCTACTCCTTCAATATCTATTGTTAATACCATTTCATATTTCTTTATATATCGGGGGGTAAATTCTATTGAAATTTCAATTGTTTCACCTGCCTAAATAGAACCTGTAGCTCTATCTATTATAAATTCTTTGTCACGCATTTTACCATCGCCTGGAATTCTCAAAATATAATCAAAAGGGACAGTCGATTTGTTTATTAGTTTAAGTTTTTCTTCTTAAGGAAAATTATAAGAAACTTTTCCAAAATCAACAATTTCCTTATCAAATTCAAATTATGGTGCACGGATATGTCCTATGAAAAGAATTGATAAAAATTCTGTTGAACCTTCGAGTCTCCATCTGAAATTCTCTTTAAATTCTCCAGGTTTTGAACTAGAGAATTAGACTCGAATTTCTTTTCTTTCTCCAACTTTTAATACACCGTTTTCAGGTTCAAATTTAAACATTTTCCCAAAATATCTGTCGTTTGGCAAAAGTTCAAATTTGCATTCAATTTCGCCTTAATTTTCGATTATTATTGTTGGTCGAACTTCTTCGTTTACAAATGGGTCCCCTAAATTAATCTCATTTTAATTCAAAAAAGCTTTAGGACCTATCCCTTCTCCTTACTAAGTTAATGAAAGTCGATCTTAATTACACGATATATTACAAAAAGCTGGACAAGTATATGAATGGGCACCTTTTGGCTTAAATGATAATGTTATTGTTATTTCAGAATTAGGCCAAATTTAACCTTTTATAGGTTCAATAGTAAAAATATCATCTTAAAAAAGCAATAAATCATCATCAATTGCCTTTTATTTTTAATTTTTATATAATTTTATTTATTTAACAAAAAATATAAAAAAATTATACTTTTCGGATATCTTTATATTTTCTAGCAAGCATTAATTCAGCTTTTTTTAAACGCTTTTAAACTATGTCTTTTTCATCATTTTCTTCATTATCAGAATCATCTTCTCCGTTTCCGAAATCGAAATCTTCATTAATTCCTTCATTATTAATGATTTCTTTAAGAAGCATTATTTCTTCATTTTCTTCTTCTTCTAATTATAGTTTAAGTCTTTACTTTTTTTCCTATTCTTCTTTTTCAGTTGCAAATGCTCTCCATTCGAAATCTACTCTAACTACAGATTTATTGATAATTTGTAAGGTTTATTATGTCTACAAGCCTATATAAGCTTCTTCCATTTAAACAAAACTTTTAGATAAATAAACCACATGATTTTATGCTTAACCGATGATAGAAACATATGCTTATAAATTATCATATTTTAAAATTGCCTCATTTTTATAAGGTTTGGCTTCTTTCGGATAAAATCTTTTTTTTTTAAATAAATATATAATCAATCATATATTTTATATAAAATGAAATATACTTTATAACAATTTATTCATTTTATCCTTATTCTAAAACTCCTTCTGTTCTATTAGATTCAAAATCTTAAGGCAATTAAAGGAACCATTTTGCAGTTTTTTCTCCTAAATTTCTAACTATTACAGGCTTTTCAGTAACATATTTAACTGGACATTATCCGAAATCCAATAAATCAGGAAAATCTAAAACTGCTCTTTTTCCAATCGCATATATAGGAACTAAAAATTATTCTCTTTCAGTTACTATTGTTAATTCATAATAATAATCATTCTTAGCTTCTGGAGAAAATTTTATTATAAAACAAGCTTCCATACCTGGAGCAATCTTTTATTTAATTTTTGGAAAAAAGCATTAAATTTAAAAAAAAAACATTAAATTAAAAAAAATACTTTATTTCCTATATAATATTTATCTAAAGGATCATTAGAATTAGAAGCTTTTTATTGCTTTTAAAAATTTTAAGATAGAGCTGGAATTACCTAAAATAAACGAGTATCTGGTTGAAGAATTTTTACTCTTCTTGCCACTTTGTCTTTATTTCTTAATTTAAAAATCTTTTCTTTTAATTATAGAGGCTCATAATCTGTAAATTATATTAAAGTTGGCATAGGATCAAACAAAGGTTCGTCTATTGGAATTGTAGTTTCTGTATATATGGAATAATCAGCCAAATTTAAAAATTTCATTATTTTGGGCTTTTAGTTGTAATCATCTAATAAATTTCCGCTAAATTATTTCTACGCTAATTGGGTTGGGGTTAACTTTGTTATTGCCTTTACGTTTTGGTTAGAACTTTTGTTTGCGTTTAAACTTTATACTGTCTTTTTACCAAAAGAAGACATTTTTTTTAATTATTTTATGCTTTTTTTATATTATCTTTTTTTTAATTTTTTTTTCTTTTAATTAATGTGTAATAAGTAATAAATAAAGTTTTTTTTTTTAAATTTTAAAAAAAATGCATATTTTTTTTTTTTGGTTTTTTAATATTTGTATTTTTATCAATATAATTAATAATTTATATAACTTTTTTTATTTATTATTTATTGTTAATTTTTATAATTTAATATTTATAATTTTTTTTATTTTTATGTTAACTATTTTTATTTTATTATTGATAATTTTTGAAAACAATTAAATTTTTACATTACTTTAAAAAATATTTAAATAAAAAAAGAATTATAAAAAATGGGAAATTCTTAAAAAATAATAAACTAAAATATAGAATAAGATTAACCTAAAGTGAATTTTATAAATACAATAAACACATCAGCTTATGGAGAAATTTAAATTTTCCAAGATTAAAAATAAATGTCAAATTATTATGCAATAAAAACTAAAATATTTGACTAACAAGATGAATATTAAAAATGTATTAAAAATTTAGAAGTTAAAAAAAAATTATCTCACAAAAACTTAATTTAAATAATAAAAATAAAACTGACTTCAGACCGAGCATTTTGTTCTAATATATATAAAATTGAAATATTATATCCTTATTATTTAAAAACATTAAAAGATGAAATAAAATATAGATAAGAGAATAATCAAAATTTTACAAACGAAGTAATAAATTAAAAATTTTTTTTACATTTTTTTTTTTATATTTAAATAAAAATAAGGAAATTAGTTCTTTTCTCGAATAAATTCTTTCTGTTTTAATATATTTGCATTCAAATGGGATATATCATTGTGATATATAACCAGATAATATATATTATGACAATTAAAATTATAAAATTTATATAACAGATATTAATTTTTTAACAAATGGTATTTCAGGTTATAAGAAGCATATAATACATATTGAGAACTAATGCTTTTTAGCCCCTGAGCTTTTAAAAGAACTCAAAGTCTAAAATATTTAACCAAATAACCTAGATTATTCGAAATCAGATACATTTTCTTTAGGATTAACATTATTATTAATGATAAATTCACTTCCTAATATTAAAAATATATATGATTTTGACAAATATACGATAATATAAGAGGAATTGGAAGCATAATTGTTAAGTGCATCTTAAAAAGTCGAAAACTATATATATGAATTAATTTAAAATATGCTTTTGATTGATTAAAATAAGCGTTTTGGCTTTAATTAATCTTTCGAGTTCCTTAAAATAAATACTAAAAATTAAAATAATAGCCAATAATTAATTATAAGCCATACAAAAGAAATAGAATAAAAAATGAGGAAAATTAATGTGATTCAAATGTTAAAAATTCTTCTTAGAAAAATCAAAATAATATAAGTATATAAAAAAAAGATAGGTAAACTGCTAATAGTTAAAATAAAATTATTCTGAAAACAAAATTCTATTAACAAAAAGAATACAATAATTTTAATAATAATATTAGTGAATAATCTATAAAGAATACAGGAAATAATTAAAAAAACAATAAAGAAGAAGAAATTAAATTATAAAAAAATAATGGAGAAGAAGTAATTAAATAAAAAGAGCTAACAATTTAATAAAACCATCTTAAAGCTGCATAATAGAATAACAATAAATAACTAGTAAAAAATTAAATAGGTAAATAATCTTCTTATATAAAAAACTAAATAAAAAAATATATTAATGACAGAATAAATTAAAGTTAATTAATAAAAATATTAAATAAATTAAGAAAAACTAGTAAAAAATATTAAGTAAATTCTAATATAACATAATATGAATAATTTATAAGATAATAATATATAAGATTTTAAAAATAATAGTAATGGCTTTAGTAGAAAAAGTGAATAAATTTTAGATAATAATAAAAGTATTGAAGAAGATTATAATAAAAAAATCTGCATAACTGATTATTTGTAAAAAAGTTTAAAATTTATAGGTAAATATAGCTTTTCACCTTTAAGATAGTTTAGAGAGAATTTGTTAGAAGATGAAATATATGTACCTGAAAATAAATATATGTACGAAAATAATATAAGATAATAGAAATAAATATATAAAATATAAAATTAAAAAATAAATATTTTGGAAAATATTGAAAACAATAATAGAAAAAGACGATATAATATTTATAATAATAATAAATGGAAATTTTGAAAATTTATAAAAAAAAAAAAAAAATTATAAAAATATATTACAAAAAAAAAAAGTTATTAATATTTACTATATGTAAATTGATAAAAATAATAATATAATATAAAATGAAATAAATATAAAAATAAGAAAAATAATTAAATATAAATATATATTTATATATTTAAATAAATTTATATATTAAATTAAATTAAATTAAATTAAATTAAATTATTTTAAATTAAATCAATTTTTATTTATAGAAATTTGTTGATATCTAATGAAAATTTATAAATAAATTTTTATTTAATTAAATCTAATTAAATAAAATTTAATAAAATAAAATTAAATTAAATAATTGGATATTTTTTATCATTCATTATATCTTGAACTTCTTGCAAATTTTTCATTTTAAATTACTGAATTTATAGCATTATATATATCTGTAATTAATTGATTCTCACTTAGTCCTAGTTTTTTCTAATTCCAAATTTTATATACATCCTCTTCTTTTTCTAATTTTTTACCTTCTAATCCTGCTTTATGTAGATTTTTTTTTAATAATTCCTAATCCTTACATTCCCAAGGAATTTTAACTATAAATTCAAATGTTATTCCTGTGCCTAAATTTGCTGGATTTCCACTTAAAAATCCAAATCTTTCCGAATAAGCAAAATCAATATTTTTCAAAGCTTTAATATAATCAATTAATCTCTAAATACATTTTTTAAAATTTCCTCCTTTTTCGAAACTTTTAAAAGTCAATTAATCATTTTCATTCACCCAAACAATAAAATTTTCTTCTTCATTTACAAAAACACCTCTTCCTGTTTCGAATCTTCCATGATCTTCATATTATAAGTTTTTTTGTTCAAAACCATAATTTTTTTTGCCTTTTAAATCTTTTAAAGAAAAATATTTAAGGTCTTTTAAGTTTTCTCCAATAATCTTTTTTATATTTTCCTCGAATTTTTTTCTCTACCAGCATGTCATTCCTGCAGGAAATGAATGATTATTTATATTTCTAACTAAGCTTATATTCATACTTAATAAAAATTCCTCGTGATGTTTTTAATTTAAGTCTTGTAGTTCTAAACTTTCTAAATCTCCCCATGTATTTTTTTAATGATCTTAAGGCTTAAAATTATGATATTATTCAACTACTTAGTCCAAAAATTCTTTAAATGCATTATATGAATCGGAAGAACCAGCTTATATTTATGAAATTTAACCACTTTTTAATTACTTTTAGGTTCTTTTATAACCTATTAATTATTGAAATGAGAAGCCAGATTTATCTTCTATTTTTTTCATTTTATCATATATTTCAGGGGTTAGTGTTTTAGCTAAAATTGAATCTTTTTCTGGAACATTTGGATAAGGTTGATTTTAGATATAATTTTAGTATATTTAAGTTATAAATTAGTTTAAAATTATCATTTTATTTAATTTTAGATTTTTATATAATTAGATATATATAATTTTTTTATTTATTCTAGAATTAGCTAATATATATTTTTTATTTATATTTTATATATAAATTGATAAAAAATAAAAAATATATATTATTTTAATTTATTAAAAAGTATTCCATATTTTATTTTTTATATCAATTTTTTTTACATTTACTAAAAAAACAAAACAATAAAATAAAAGCTGTTAAAATTAAAAAAGAGAATAATAGAATAACAAAAATAATTATAAGGAAATCAAAGAACAAATAAATAAAAATAGTTAAACTAATAAAAAAAGAAATTATAATAGAATAAATATCTATATATATAATTATATCCATAAAAAATTCAAAACAATCTTAATATTCATTAATATATATAATAACTCATTTTCTTAATTGTCTGAAAAAGATAATTTTTTTGACAAATAATATAGTAGAACTCTAATTATCAAATATTATTAATAGTTTCATGATTATATTAAAATAATTCTTAATTTCTCCTATATTAACCTTTTTGCTGCTGCTTTTTAATAAGCACTGTTTTTAGTTTTAATTTTTAATGTAATTGACTTCTGGTCGAATAAAATTAAAATTTTTAATCTTTATTAAAGACCATTCCGAAAAATCTAGAGGAATTGGAAAATGTAATTCTGTAGTTGTGTTTTTGTATTTTTAATAATATTTTGTTACTTTTTTTTGCTAATTATATATCGTAAAATTATTTTTAAGAATATAAAGATTGATTAGTGTTTTTTTTTTTTTTTTTTGTATATTAGCTTTTGATTTTGCTTTTTTTGATTATAAAATTTTTATTAAAATCATAAAGACTCTGGACTGATTTTTATTTATAGAGGTTAATTAGATTATTATAAAAAAATTAAGTTTATCAAAATTAAATAAGTTGATAAGAAAATTCAAAAATCTTTGATTTCAGATTATTAATTGGCATGAAAATGAGACTTATTTTTTTAAATAATTCATATTGTAATGTCTTTTTTAAATAATTTCTATTATTTGAATATACTAAGTTTGCTTTTTTACTCTTTTTAAAAATAACTTATAAATTTTATCTTATAATAAAATAAATATAATTTAGTATATTTTATCTATTTTTCAAATATTTATTTTTAAAAATCTATTTTTATATTATTAATAAGATGTTAATATTTTATTTTTTTAAAGAAGCATACATAATTATTTTTTATTAAATTATTGATATAATAAAATAATTTATTGATTATTTTTATAATTTTTAAATTATATTTTAAAATAAATTATTATTTTTATATATAATACCAAGTTTTGTGATTTAAATTAATTTAAAATTATTTTATGGCATATCTTTAATATTTATTATATTAAAAATAATATTAAATAATTTTTATTTGAAATATTATTTATTTTTTTTGGTCTATAGTTGAAGTTAGTTATTAATGTATTTACTTACTATAAATAATAAAAAGGTATTTTATTTAAAAAAAAAAAAAAAAACTAAAGATATAAAATTAAAAATTATCTTAAAAAGTTTAATATTTTATTTATATTTGAATTAAAATTAAATAAATAAAATTAAATAAATTTTAAACAAAAATAATAATAAATAAAATGTAAATATATTATATAAAAGAAATATAAGAAAGTTTATTTAATATTATTGACATATAAAAAAATTTAATTCAATTTTTTATAACTTTTTATTATTTTGCAAATATATCCATAATTTCATTATAACTAAATTCTTATTATTCAAAATTTGAGCTTCTGCCAGAAGTGGATTTACTAGAGAAGCTTTTAAAATGATTTATAACATTCAATATTACATTTTAATTAGGTTAACAAATAGGTCTTTTAGTTGTCACAAGTTACAAAGCATCTTCGAATTCATATCTTTAATGAAGAACCAGATGCAAAATAGCAGTTTAGGGTGCTCTTCCAATTCCAGAAGTGCAGTGAATATAAAATACATGATTGTATTTATATAATTAAAAAATCTAATCAAGAATATCAGGAGCCTATTAGACATACGAGATTTGGTCATTATCTCTAATAGGTAAATTGAGATGAATTATATTTTTTTCTTCACAAAGTTTTTATATTAAATTAATATCAATAAAGTTTCTTTATTAATCATTTTTTGTTTAAAGATTTATTATAACTGAAACATTAAGTGAAGTTAATAAATTAATATCATTTTGACAATTAAGGAAAGTTCCAATATATAAATTATCATCTATTTAGTTATATTATAGTTCTTCTCTAAAATATTAAGGCTCTATTTCAGAATAATAAATAGAATACTTGTTTTTTAAGTTTTTGGAACAGGTTATATATCTAGATGGACCTCTTTCCATTTAGGTTAAATCTTTAATATATTTATATTTAAAAGAATCTATAGTCATGTCTATGTATATTTGATTTTTATATATTTCTTTTTTTTCTTATGATTAGTACAATTAAAATGGTTTTTTAATTTATTAATTATTCCCAACAACATGTATTATTAAATTTTATTATTATGATTAAACCATAAATATTATTTTTCGATAATTATATATATCCTAAATATATATTTTATTATTTTCCTTTTGGATGTAATAACTTCCTTTATTTATGTTTAAACTACGATAATTACCATTTTCAATATTTATAGTTTCGTTTGTATATTCTTTAAGTATAGCATATTTATAGTTTATTATATTTTAGTTTTATTCAATTTAGCATTCGCCACTCCAAATATCATTCTCATTCCATTTTAATTAAGTACCTTTTTGATCTATTATATTTCCATATTCGTCGTATTGCAAAAGGACTACTTTTTATCCCCATTATACTTTACATTATACCTGTATTTATAGGTTTTTAAAAATATGAAAAGATTTTTGTGTATTCATGTTGAAATTTATTTCTTATTTTTATTAATAGGATTTTTAAGTTTTATTATTTTTGTATGAAAATGATGTTTGCTTAATTATTATTTTATATAAATATGATTGTTTTATTTATTATTCTTTTTTTTTTTTTTTTTTTTTTTTTTTTTTAATATAATTATATTTATAAATATTTTTTTTTTTAATAATGTATTAAAGTAATTTCTTTTTAAATACTGAAAAAAATTTAAAGTAAAAAATATAAATGAGAAATTAAATAAAAAGTATCCAAATTTATTTTCTAATTTAAAATTTCATTAATATTTAGTTAATTTTAAATAATAATTATATATTATTTATTACTTAAAATAACAAAAATGTTTAATTCTATGTGTTTATAATTTATACAATATGTAATTATTTTTAAATTGAATATACATGTATAAAAGTACGTCACAATTATAAAGAATTTCTTTTAAATGAAATGATTTTTGGATATATGTTAGTTTGTAAATAAATAAGATAAAAATAAATTTATCAAAAAGTATAAAATATATCATGATTATTAATATCACATATTATATAGATTTTTAATATTAAGAAAAACTTATTTAAAAAAAAAAAAAAATGCATATATAATTATAAAAAATATAAAAGAATTATGATAAAATTTATTATAAAAATAAAATAATTAATTTTTACAAAAAATGACATAAATAATTAAATATAAATATATTTTATAATTTTATATTAATAAAAGAATATAAAAATATTTAAATAAATATATATTAAATTTATTTTAGAATTTTTTTTAATATTAGTGTTATGATAATCTTTAATTTATTTTAAGTATGGATAAATTATTTTATTTGAAAACAATATGAAAATATATTAAATTATAAATATTATAAAAAATTCAAAATGATGTTATTTATATATATTATTTTAATTTTGTATTCAGAAATTTACTAATATTATATAAAATTTAATCTATTATATTTAATAATAAAATATATAATACATATTTTTATTACTTTTTTTAAAGATACTTACATTCTATTGTAATTATATATATTTAAAGATAAAAATATATAAATTTGATTAAATTTATAGTTTATAATTAATATTTTAATAATATATGAATAAAAAATATGCATATATTAATTACAGAAAAGCAAATATTAATAATAATTAAATTATTAAAATAAATATTAATTATAATTAATTAGTTTTTTAATAAATATACCTGATCATTTATATACTAAAATAGAAAAAAATGTATTTGGTTCAAATTATTGAGATAATATAATAATGAAATAATAATAATTATGTTTAGAAATAATTTAAATTTTATAATATTTATTTTTTTTATAAATATTTTTTAATAAAAACATATATTTTTCCATTTTTAATTTTTTTTTATATTTATAATTATTAAATTTATTTGCTCTAGACATTTTTATTAATTAAATTCTTATCAATTTTTTTTTTTATTAAAATTTAATATATATTTTATAATTTTTCTCAATTCAATAAAATAAAAAATTAAATAATTAACCTGATTTAAAATAAACTAACAAAAATCATTTTAAAAAAATAACATATTTTAATTCATTATATAGAAAATAAGTAAATAAAAAAAATGGAATACAAAATATAAGCCATTTGACAAGGTAAGCTTAATAGCAATTAAATTTTTATTTTATTGTGTGAAAAAAATATTTAAATTAATATTTATATATTACTTAAAATATATAATTTTTTTTTTTTTTTTTAAAAAAAAAAAATATCATAAAGAAATAACAAAAAATTATGATTAAATTATAACAAAAATATTCCTTAATAATAGAAAAATTAAGTCTAAATTCTTTGTGTTTTTTTTATATGTTTTGGCTTTCTATTTATGCTTTTTTAATAATAATAAGTACTTTAGGGCCTTAGTATTATCTACATTAATTAATAGATTCTACAAATTATAAATGTAATGAATAAAAAAACTAAAATTTAGAAATCTCTTTTAACTGTAATATATGTTTAGATAGAAAATAATTAGGAATAAGTGAGACTTATTAAATATAAATAGCTTCCTTATTAAATGAATAGGAAAATAAGATAGAGAATGATGATATATATAATGGTTTTGTCACATAAATTTAAACAAATTAAATTTGTTTGCCCCAAAATATTATAGATATAGATAAATATCCTTAAATAATAGAAAAAAAAGATGAATATACAGTAATATAAAACAATAAAAACGTGTAAATAAGCTTTGATTGTTATAATTAACACAAATAATACAACAATATAAAAAATATTTGTATTAGTAATCCCATAATTTAGTCAGCAGAAGAAATTGGAGAAAAGAATGAATATTTTATAAAAATAAATAACCAAAATAACAAAATAAGGAAAATTTTGTTTTAGTTAATTTCAAGAAATAAGAATAGTCAATTATTGGAATTTTTTTGTTTTTTTTTGTTTTTGTTTCGGCTTCTTTTTATGCTTTTATTCTTTTTAATTTACATAAATTTTATTCTGATTAGTTAATTGTTCTTTAAAAGTAAATAAAAATGCTTCTGCTTTTTTTAGTGCTTTATAATATACCGTTTTAGCTTATTTTTAAATAATAAAAGGCTTTTTTTTGATTAAATATTTTTTAGAATTCCTTTTTTTAAATTATCTAGTTTATTTTTGGTTAAATATTTATAGTTTTATTAATAAAAATAGTAGAAAGAATTATTTCTTGAGTTATTGTTTTGCTTTTTTAATTAATTTTCCTTTATTTTATTTAAATTTTAATCTGTCTTTTACGGATTATTTAATTTTATAATATGAGTAATATAAATATTTTTAAGAAATTTTGTTTATTTATAAAGTTTTACATGTTATTTTTTTATTTTTGAATTTGTTTTAATTTAAATAAGTATGTTTATCTTAAAATATTGAAAAAAGATTTAAATTTTTATATTATTTTAGTGTTTTGATTATTCTTATTTATTTCTATTTATGTTTTTATGATTATAATAACTTTGATGAAAATCTAAAAAAATAAATTCTTATTAATATTTATGTTTTTGTTATTAGCTTTTTACATATGCCTGTCTAAAATAAATATGAATTTTAAAATTACGAAATTGAAGATGAAATAGATAACAGTTAAAATATTTGAAATAAATAAATAAATAATATATATATATATAATAGTAATTTTAAAAATAAAAATATATTAATATATATATATATATATATATATATATATATATATATATATGTATATATATTTTATTAATTTTACTGTATTTTAATTATTATAATATTAGTTTTATGTTTTAATTTATAATTTTCTTATTTTATATAAATTATTTTTAATTATTTATAAAAGTTTAAAAAAATATTATAAATATGGGAAAAGAATAAATACAATAAGTCAATATTATATTTTAATAATTTTAAAAATTATTTCTATATATTTGCATATTTTAGTAAGTTTTCATGATATAATTATATTTTTTACTAAATAAGTCATATTTTGATTTTGATATTAAAATTTTATAATTATTTTTATATATTTTATAATTTATTCATAAAAACTTATATAATAAAGTTTAAATAATTATATATAAATATTTATTTTAATAAAAATATTAATATTACTGTATTTAATAACTTTTAATTTTTTATATAATTATGTTTTAAATTTCTTAGAATTATTATTAAAATATAAAACTAAAAATACATTTTACAACTAAAAGTTATTTTGTTAAATAATTATAAAAAAAAAATATACAATACAATTAAAATATGTTGACAAAATAAAAATAAAAATAAAAATTAATAATATGCATTATACTTTCTTAATTAACATATTTTTTTTGGTAATTTTTATATACTATGCAATAATTTTAAGCAATATAAATTTATACCTAAAATAACTGAAACCAATTTAGGATTCTAAATATTAATATTAGATAGCTTTTTATTTTAATTTACAAATTTATATCATATTATATATTAATATTAACTCTTTTAATAGTTTTCTGGCTGATATATATTAAAGATTAATTAATATAGTAATAAATATATATAAAAAAATTAATAAAAAAATTATTCTATAAGAAGAAAAACTTTTTAATATAAAACTGCTCTTTATTAAAATTTATATTTTCATGATTTGGGTTATATAAGAATAATTAAAATTTCTTCATTAGGTAATAGTGATAGTCTATAATATAAAAAACTCATTAAAAAATATATAAAAATAATAAAATATTAAAAATAATTGAAAATATCATTTTCTACAATATATTTCTTTTTCTAAAAATTCTTAAATAGATTTTCTCTTTTCTCTTCTAGAATCATCTAAAGGTGTGTTTCCTCTAGCATCTTTATGGAAGAGATTCGCATTATGAAAAACCAAATACTAAACAGCTTCAGGTTTCCTTCTGAAGCTGCTACAGAAAGGGCTGTTCTGCCAACATAATCATAACAATTAACATTACACCTTATATAAGTAAAGATTTTATTAAATTAACATCATTTTCAAACGCAGCATATAAAAGTCTATATTTATTATCACTAAAAGCATCATTAATTGGCAGTTTATTATACTAAAGATTCTTATTTCCTAGTCTACCTCCTTAAGAAATCAAATAATCTTTCACTTTTTGGCATTTAGCATCATTTAAAGGTGTTGCTCCCCACCTATCTTTAATATTAACGTCCACTTTTTCACTTTAAACTAAAAATTTTACAATTTCAATGTGTCCTCCGGAAGCTGCGAGATGTAAAGGTGTCCTTTTATCATAGTCACCTTGATTTAATTGTATATTGAAGTTTTTAAGTCTAATAATACCCTCCATGTCTCCAATTGAGGCGCAAGAAATACTTCCTATAATATATTTTATTATCGTTTGGAAAGCTTTGTTTTCGCAATCTTTTTTATTCAAATCTTTATGGAATAAATTAAAGTTGTTGTATATATTGCTTATTTATTTTATCAGTCCTATACCTCTTATTGAATTCCCTTCTTCGTTTAATTTCGGGCCAAAACTAGCAAAGGAACCTAATCCGGGTATTATAGTTAATAAACCACCCGAAACGCCACTTTTGCAAGGAATTCCGAGATTTTTAGTGAATTTTCCGGCTCCATTGTACATTCCACAGGTTAGCATAAATGTTGTGATAGCTTTAACACTTTCTGGCTTTAGTATTCTTTCACCAGTGGATGGGTTTATGCCATTATTTGAACACATAGTGCCAAATCTAGTTAAGGATTCCACATTTATAATTATTGAGCACATTTGGAAATATAAATCAAGCGCTTATTGTGCAAATTCTTTCATTTATTCAATGTTTTTATCTTTTTTGGGAAATACTCCATTTGCTAACATTAAATATGACAAAGCATGGTTTGTGTATCCTGTAAGCTTTTCTTCTAAATATAATTTATGGTCAATTTAGATTTTTTATTTACACAAATCCTTCCTAGTAGCCCTCTAATAGAATTCTAATATATCCTCCAAAGTTTTCCCGTGTTCCAAAAGAAGCGCTGCGACCATTATCGCTCCTGAGTTTATCATAGGATTATGCGGACGACCTTTTTGATCGAAAACTGGGGCGTTAAAAGGCATTCCAGAAGGTTCTTCGCCTATATATTAGTGAACTTCTTCCCCTATAAGGTCATATAAATATCCATACGAGACTATTTTACTTATTGATTGGATTGAGAAGGTTACTTAGGTGTCTCCATATTCTATATATTGTCCATTGTTTGAACAAAAACTGGCTGAGAAATAAGATGGATTGAAGTTTTTTAATGTAGGGATATATTATGCAGTTTTACCGTGGGAATATTCTTCGCTTTTTTTTACATAATGGGCACATTCTTTAAAATTACGGGCAAAACGGTCAAATGAAGGAATATTTAAATCTGATTCGAATACTTTTTTTAAAAAATGGAGGCCATTTGTTAATTATTGGTATTCTTGGAAATATATGAAATCTTAAGGACCTTTGTTTTGTAATTTTCGGATTATTTTATGCAGTGAATAATGAGAGAGAACACCCATGGAGTCTAACATTGATAGTATTTCATCTTTTTTTAAATAACCGCGATTTTAATAGTCTAAAACATGAAATGAGCGCGTTATCCAGGTTTAGGTTTAGGCAAAAGTATATTTTAATGAGTTTGGGAGTTTTTTTAATGAATAAGGTTTCAAAAATAAGTTTTTATAAAACATTTTTTTTTATATACTTTAATTTGAAAGATTTTATTGAAATATTTATTATATTAAATATTAAAGAATATAATTATTATATATATGCTTTAAGATTAATTATTTCTAATGTTTTGTTTGCGAATAAATTATATTTTTATATTTATTTTATGAGAGCAAACGTATGTATTTTAAATTTTAAGTTGGTTTAACAAATAAGTCTATTTTTTTTATTTAAGAGTCTTTTATTATAATCATTTTTAGTTTATAAATTTTTATTTTTAAAGAAAACTATAAAAAAAAAAAAAATTATATATAATAAATAACTAAAACTTTTAAAATATAAAAATTAATATAAAAAATTATATTCAATTTTTAATAAATTAAATTATCATTTTAATTATACTTAATAAAATTTATATAAACATTGGAATTAAATCATTTATAATATAAGCATTTTATTTATAAGTAATTTATTAAATATTTATTTACTTTAATTTTAATATTAAAATTAGCGAATCTGATTAAATGTAAAATACTAATTATTTATATACAGTTATCTGTATAAAATATTGAATTTAACTTATAAAAAAAAGATTTTATGTAAAAAAAATATTATTCTCTAAAAAAACATATAATAAATCTTTTATATTTTATATTATTTATAAATAAAAGATTATAAAATAAATTAAAAAAATATTCCCAAATAATTATCAATATATAAAAATAAATATATTTCATATAAATATTTATTCTTTTATAATAATATATTTTTATTTTTTTAGAAAAAAGTTTTATTCATTAATTAATATAAAGTATTTGTTTTAAAAAAAATGAAAATAAATAAAAACTAACACAAAGACTAAAAAAAATTAAAAAAGAGAAAATTTTCTTATTAAATCGTTATATATTTATAAAAAAAGAAATCATTTTTTTTTGTTTTTTTATCAGTTGTTTGTAATTCAGCTTCTGTAAGTGCATCAGGATATTAACTAAATGTCCTATTAGTATTTTGTATAAAATCTTCTAATCCTTCTAAGTGTTAAACATGATTATACCTAAAAAAAATAAAACAGAATATAAAAATAAGAACAAAAAAAATACCATCTAAAAAGATTGTTATATTTAAATTTAGTTTAATTGTCAAAAGTTGTAACATATTCATAACAAAAAGCAAATAATAGTAAATCGGCAAAAGTAATATGATTTCCAATCAAAAATACTTTACTCTCTAAATCTTAATTTAATATTTGTAGTATTTTTTCTTTATTTTTTTACAATTATTTACATAATTCATAAATTTGAAGTAACTATAATATTTTTGATAAAAAAAATTATTATTTTATAATTTGTTATTTACTTAATTATCGTTATTTTATCCAAATAATATTTCTTTAGTAAATGTTAAATCTGATAAATAATGACAAATATTAAAAGAATTAGAAAGAATTTCAGTTGAGGTGAGTAATGAAGGATGTTAGGGAAGTTATATTAATCCTTATTTAATATAATTTAATGCACATTAACTCAATTTTATGACATTTACTTTGTTTCTTTTTACTAATCTTGTATAATGACAAAATAATTCGATTACAAAACTTTCTGAAGTTTGATCTAAAAATAATTCCATTATATTTATTAATTTTATTTGTTTCTTATTATTTTTTAATGTTTATTTTTAATATTATTAAAAATATAAAGAGAAATATCTTTTTTATTTCCTTATTTTATTTTAATTTAATAAAAAAAAAAAAAATCAATATTATTAAAAAGTAGAAATTGAATATATATATATATATATATATATATATATATATATATTTTTAAATTTTTTATAATTTTTTTTTTATTATATTAGATTTTTTTTTTTTTTTATAAATATAATATATTATATATTTTCATTTATATAAATAGTAAATATTTCATTTTGATTTATAAATTTATTATTATTTTAATATTAATTAATTTATTTGTATATTTATTATAAATTTATCCCATATAATATCACTTAGTATGTATATTTTTTTAAAAAAATTAAATAATTTAGTTATTAATTTTTTTTATTTAAATTTTAATTTAATATTAAATATAATTTTTATAAAATCTATTTAAAAAATATCTATAATATATTTTTAATTTTTAGATATATATAAAATAATGTTTTTATAAAAAAAATAATGAAAATTATTAAATATTAATTAAAACTTAACACAGTATAAAAAATAATTTTTATATATTTAATTCTAAAAAACTTAATACACAAAATCTTTAGCTTTATTTATAATATCGAAATTATATTTTATTATGAATTTAGTTTATTATAAAATATTATTAATTTTATTATTGATTTGAACAATATAAATTGTTATAACTTTAAGAATGCAAACAATAATTTTAATAACAAATAAAAACGTAATATTATAAAAAATAAATAAAGATATAAACTAAATTAAATTTAAAAAGTATTAGCAATCAAAATAATTTTAAAATATTAAATTTAATATCTATTTTGTATAATAATTATTAATATTATTTTTTTTGATTTAAAAAAATAAAAATTTAAAAGATAATTATTTTAAAATTAATTTTTATTATATTAAAAATAATTATTTTATATAATTTTGTTTAATATCTTAATAAAATAAATAATATTTTAATAATATTAATTTTTTTATTTTAATATTTTCCTCTTTAATTAATATCTGTTATATTTATATTTTTATAATATTTTTTATATTTATATTAATTTCAACAATATATATGTTTTTAATTAATTTTATATTTAGCCTTCCTTAAAAATTATAACAAAATTATGAAATAAGCATTATTAATATAAAATATTAAATAATAGATAGTTTTATTGAAATTTTCTATAAACATTATTATTAAATATCAAAAATAATTAAAAAAATGATTCTTTTACAATTAATATTGGTTTTATAAATATATATCTTTTTAATATTAAAATATAATAATTATTTTTATTTTTTAATTTTTTTATAAATTGTTTTTAATAAAAAATAATTTAGTTATAAGCATTTATAATTTGTATATTTTTAAAAAATATATTAATATTTTATATTATAATAGAAAATTTAAATTTATTAATAGTAAAATATTTTTATAAAATTAAAAATTATTTTAATAAAAAAACAAAAATATTTTGTATATATATAAATATAAATAGATTATGTTTTTAAGAAAATTAATTAAAAAAAAAATTAAATTATATAAAAAAAGAAAGTTTATATTATTATGATAGTGTAAGCTTTTTTAAAAATAAAAATTATATTTAATTTTTTTATAAAAATTTAATATATATTTAGATCAAATATATTATTTATGTATAAAAAATTATATATATTCTAAATAAAAAATAAAATTCATAAAAATATATAAAATTAAATAAAATAAAAATTAATCTTTAATTACTAATTTTAAGTTTTACTATTTTTTTTGAATAAATTTCCATAAAAATACATAAAAACGTAAAATCAAAATAAAAAATTAGTATAAGGATATAATCGATAATATAAATTATAATATAAAAAGATAAATTGTAATATATTAATTTGTGATATATTAATTAATAAAAATACAAATTTTTAAATAAATAAATTTATCATTAATTAATTATATTAATAAAATTTATTTTTAAAACTGTAAATACATTAATAAAAATACATAAATAATAATTTTTATAATCAATATAGATTCTTTTTATAATTAAGAATAATTATATGTTTAAAAAAAAAAATATAAAAATTTTAAGAAACATAATAATGAAAATTTATTAAACTTTTTATTTATTATTTTAAAATATTAATATAATAGTAATTCAATAAAAAAATTTAAATATATATATTTATATATATATTTTATATATATGTTTATAATATAGTATAATATTATTTATATATATTTTTTTATTTCATTTATTTAATATTTTTTATATTATAAAATATTTATTTATGCAAAAATAATATATCCGTTTTTATTATTGAAATAAAATATACACGTTACAAAATAATATTTAAATAAAAATTGAATAATTTAAAAAAGGTGGTATAGCAAATAATAAATATTATAAAATATGCAAATTATTTAATTTATATTTTATTTAATTATTATATTTAAAATAAATATAATTATTCAAAAAACATTTAAACTAATGATTATTTTATTTAAGGTTTTATAGCGAGATTACAAAAAATAATTAAATTATTTGTATTATTTTATTTATCAAGTTGATAATCTATAAAATATTTTTAAAATTAAAATTATTTTTATAATTAAAAGATTTAAATGTTATTGAAAATAAATACAGAAAGTTATTAATTTAAAATAAAGGACAATTAAATATGAATTAATATAAATAAATAAATTATAAAATAATTAATTAAAAGAAAACAATTAATCATCATATTATTATATAATTTTATTGATTTTTATTTTATTAAAATATATAATTTATAATCTATTTGAATAATCTTAATAAGCTTATTCAATTAAATATATAAAAATTCTAAATTTATTAAATTAAAAATAAAAAAAAAATTAATAAAATCAAAATTAGTAAAATAAAATAAAAACAATATTTTATTTATTTATTTATTTATAATATAATTTACCCAATTTTATTATAATTTATAAAAATAAGCATAACTATATATTTATTAATTAAATTTTTTAATATAAAAAGAATTATCGGAAGATCTCTTTAGAAGTAAATTATAATAACAAAAGTTTTTAATTTAAAAAAATATATGAATGTGATTTTTTTTTTCATTATATATATAGTATTTTAATAAAAAAATAATAATAATAAGAAACCTATAAAATTATAATTAAATTTTTTATTCTGGAGGTATTATGTATAACAAATCTTATAAAAATATAATTATACATAAGTAAAGATAGTATATGTTAAGTTTAACCAAAAAATTATGGTGAATTTAATTTAAATAAAGATTTTTGACATTATTAAAGGTAAATAAAAAAAATTAAATATTTAAAATTATTATATATATATATATATAAATATATAATATATATATATAATATATATATATTGTTTTATATAAATTAATAAAAATATAAATATCTTTAATGATATTACTAAAGAAAAAAAATTAATTTTTAAATAAAAATATAAACCACATCAACAAAAGTATAAGTAAAAAAATAGGTCAAAAAATATATATTTAATTTATAAGAAACAAATAAATAAACTTTAAAATTAAATTTAAATCTTTAAATATGTAATAAAAGATTATTAAAATTATTTTTAAATATATTAATCTGATTTTAAATAAAGATAGGATAATTATATTAATGCTATTAATATGAAGGATATGATAATAAAGAAATTAATTAGCTTTAATTTTTAATATGAAATAATTAAACTATACCCCATATATTTTTATTTATTTTTTTTAAGAATAAAAAAAAAAATATATAATATATGATTTTTATCAATAATATATTTTTTTTCCATTAAGTTATAAATTATATCAATATATATTATTTTTAATATTTTATTTAATTTTTAAATTATCAAAATAAAATAAATATTTATGTTTTTGTTTATTTGTATAATATAAAATAAATTTTCTTTTATATTTAATTTTTTTATTTTTTCAATTTTAATTATAAAATTGTAAATTTTAAAAGTATAAATATAATAATTTATATGCATTTTTTTATTTCAATAGTCCTCAGTATTTTATTTAAGTACTCCTTTTTTATCTTTCATATCTTTCGCAAGTTTAAGCTTCTCTTTGATTTCTATTACAAATTTCTTCATTCCATTTTCATCGAATATTTTCATTGATTTACATAAACATTTTTATGCATCAAAATAGTTTTTTGTTAATATTTTTATTGTTCCTATTAGCCTTAATATTTTGGCTACTTAAATTGAATTTTCTCCATGTGTTTTACTTTCGATTTCCTTATTTTTTCAACAAAGAATATTATATATAAATATAAATATAAATATAAATATAAATATAAATATAAATATAAATATTATTTATATATTATTATTTATATATATATAATATTTAATATATTTATTTATATATTTTTTTATATTTTTTAAACTTCTATTTCTTCTAATATATCCAAAGCTTCTTCATGATTTTAATTTTTTAAATGTATAGATGATATTTATTTTTTTATTTTCATGATTTTTTTATCATTAGATCCGTAAATTTCTTAATATAACTCAATTATCTATTATTTATATATATTTTTTATTATTTTAAAAAATAATTATTGATATAAAAAGAAAATATCAACTTTTTAAAGTGAGTATAATTATTAATCTATTTTATTTGCTTTTTCTTAATATTTACTTAAAACTTAGTATTATTCTGCTAAAAATTCTATTTTAACATTAATATAATCAATTTCTTCTAGAATTTCTATTTTTATAAAGATATTATTTAAAAATAATTATTTATATATAAAACTTGCCAATAGCCTTCTATTAAAATTCAATAGCTTCAATAATACTATTTTAAAGTTCATAAATTTTAGCAATATCAATATAAGCAACTGCACTTTATTCACTTTTATATCCATATTTACTTTCTGAAATATTTAAAATTCTCTTTAAGTATTCAAGAGCTCTATCATAATCTTTCAATTTGCTATAACAATTACTTATATAAGTTAATGTTTAAATACATGAGACATCATTTTCTCCATTTATTTAAACTTAAATTTCATTCGCTTTTATAAGCAATTCTAAAGAATCATCATAACTTTGAATATATAGATAGCATCTTTTTTTATTAATAATAAAAATAAAATACAAGTATTTACTTTCCAAGATAAGTTAATATAGTTGAATGATATAGTTTAGATTCTTTTATTTCTGAAAACAAAGTTCCGTTTTTTTTCAATGCAGTTGTTAAATGATCTATTGCTTATTCATAGCATTTAAAATCTAAATAAGCTATTCCTAGTTTTGTATGTGCTTCTACTAATAAGAATTAGCTTTTTTCATGTGTAAATACTAAAATCTGTTTTATTTTATTTTTTTATTTTTATTTTTATTTTATTTTATTACTTTTGCTAAAGCTAATTAATGCATTCGAATGTTTAATGTTTTTTCTTCGTTTTTTTCTTTAGCGCATTCATCTAATATTTTAAATTTTTCGTAAACATCTTCACTTATTTAATCTGATATTTATTAATTTAATAGTTCTTCTTCTTCTTTTTACTTTTTTTGTTATTCTTTTTTTTTTTTTTTTTCTCTCATATAAATTAGTAGTAATTTTTTTTATTTTTTTTTACCTCTTTCGATTTCATTTTTATTTTGAGATGATTAATTATTCTTTTTATTAGATTATTTTTATATTTGTGCAGGTTATAATTCCCTTTTTTAAGTGCTTTAATTTTATTCTTGATATGTATTTATATTTTCGTTTGCATTTAAGTCGTTATTACTCATATAATAAATTTTAAATAAATAAGAAAAACTAAAATGTAAAAAAAAAATAAGAAATGGTAAGTTATTTAATTAAATTATATAATATAAAAAAATATTTCTTTATTATTCTTTTAATTATTAAAACTATATTATTATTATTATATTAAAAATGAATTTGTTAAAAAAAAAAAAATTATAATTTTTTAAAAATATTATATTTTATTTTTTATTTTGTAAATATAATAAATATATTATTAAAAAGTAAAATATGTAATTATAACCTTATTAAATATTTAAAAATATAGTACTTAACAATCATTAATATTTTTAAAATTATGTATATATTATTTGATCTTTTTTATTTTTTTGTATTTTTTTTTTAAACAAAAATTAATTAAAATATTATATTATATGACAAGAAAAAAATGGATAAATACATTTTTTTGTTGTTGTTTTAGTTTTTTTTTTTATAAAAAAAAAATAAAAAAAAATATATTAAAAAGTGAAAAATCCTAAATAATAAATTAAGAATATAAAAATTTAATTGAAAATAATTAAAAAAAAATATCCAATTATTTATAAGTATACATAAAATTTAATATAAAAATAAAAAGAACAAAAAAAAAAAATGGAACTTTTAAAACTATCAGATGAATCTTTAATTTATGAACTTCATAGACGTTTCAAATGTCGTAATATAAAAGATTCTAAAAGACTTGTATTAATAGGTAATTATGCTAATAATGAATAATAATTATATATATTATTTAGTTTAATATAATATTAATAATAATAATTAAAATAATCAAGGATTACCAGGTGCAGGAAAAGGAACTCATTCTTATAATTTATAAAAAAAATTTTGCTTATGTTAACTATCTACAGGAGATTTATTAAGAACTGAAGTTAGAAATGGTACTCCTTTAGGAAAATAAGCCAAAAGTATAATGTAAAAAGGAGAATTAGTATCTGATGATATAATTTTAAATATAGTAAAATATAATTTGATGAAGTAATTTTTTTTTTTTTTTTTTTAGCTATAATTTTTATTAATTTATTTTATTTTAATATAGACCTGAATGTTCAAAAGGAGCAATTTTAGATGGATTCCCAAGAACTTTATAATAGGCTTAAAAATTTGATGAAATCTTAAAAAATGAAGGTTTAAATATTTGGAAAGCATTATACTTTAAAATTGATGATTCTGTAATATTAGAAAGGTAAAATTTAAAAACTCTATTTATTTTTTAAAATAAAAGTAATATAAATAATATAAACATTTTTTCTTTTTCTTTTTCTTTTTTTTTAAAAAAAAATGCAAATTTAATTGCTTTATATTTTTAGTTTTTTTATATTTATTTTTATATATAAATATTACTATAATTAAAATTTTATTAATTTTTATTTAATAATATATATTATAGATTAGGAGGAAGAATTGTTCATTTACCCTCTGGAAGAACATATCATTTAAAGTATAATCCACCATAAATTCCTTATTGTGATGATGTATTTAAATAATTTTATCTGCTTTTTTTTTTTAGAAATAATATATTAAAATAAAGGTTACAGGTGAATAATTAGTTTAAAGGCCTGATGACAAACCAGAAACTATTAAAACAAGACTCGAAAACTTTCATTCATAAACAAAGCCAATGCTTGAATATTATGAAAAATAAGGACTTTTAGCAACTATTAATGCATAATCAAGTATTACTAATGTTTGGAGATAAATAAAAGATGTATTTAAAAATGGTTCAGTTGAATAAAATTGAAAGAATAAAAAAAAATATGATTGTAAACCTTTAAAAATAGTTATTTTATTTTTATAATATATCAATCTATATAAATAAATTTTAATTTTATAAAAAATTAATAATTATTATATTAAAAATTAATTAAAATATATATTTTTAATATATTATCTACTTAAAAACGAATTTTTAGAAATTCTTTAAGGACATATTATGAAAAAAATTAAATACTTTTATTTGAATAAACATTTATATTTATAACAATTTTAAAAAAATAAAAAAGAATATAAAACTTTAATAAGAAAATATATATAAGAATTATTAAATATTCTCATTTATAAAAAACAATAATATAAAATAATAATTTTAAACTATTTTAAGAAATCAAAAAAAAAAAATTAATCAAAAAAAATAACTAATATAATATATATATATATGTAAAATAATATATATATATATATAATAAAAGAAAAAAATATCATTCTCTAAGTCTAATAAAATAAAACATAAGCTGAATTATCAACTAATTTATGTTCTGAGTATTTTCGAGACTTTAGAATCATTAAAATCATACCATTCTTAATTAATATGATTTTTCGCATAAGCAGTGTAATGCCCTCCACCTATGTTTCCATAATGATTTGAAATGGCAAATAAATCATAAAAAAGATTTTTACAATCTTCTTTAATAACATATTTATTTAAATTAAGTCCTCTAATTGGGAAATAAATAAGATCATCAAGTTTTTATCCTCCATGATTATTATAAAAATATTAGCCTTAATAAGAAAGTAATGCCTTGGATGTTTTGAACCTTTTTAAATGAATAATAAGTATTTTCGGAGTTTAGTAAACTTCAATTTTTTTAGATGCGTTTTTGTGTTTTTTGCAATTCGCGCAGTACCATTCATTATCTTTTTCAAGAATTTCCTCTTTTACAAATAAATCTAGACAATCATATAAAGTATAATTTTATTGATTTTACTTATTCTAAATGATCATTACTTTTATATATGAAATCTTGATATTAATTTAACTTAATATTGTTTATTTGTTCATTTATTTTTATTATTAATTAAATATTGTCTTATTTTGTCACAATTAAATTCGTTTTTAAATGTTCTTTTAGAATTATATTTTAATTATTTTTAATCTTCTAAATATATTATATAAGGCTTCATATCATTCATCTTGTTATTAAATAAATAATGTGTTATATTCCTTTATTATGTTTTCTTCGTTTGTATTCTATATTTAATCTTATAATTATAGTGCTGATAATATATAAGCACGTAAATCCGCCAAATTTTTAGATGAATCGTTTTATATGAAGAATTTATACCTACTGTCATTCTTCTTTAAAAACTACAAAGTGTCAATTAACCATTATTAAATTCTTCATTTGTAAGAAAAATATCTAAATAAACCTTTTTATAAATATATATGTGTATATATATATTTTACTTATTCTCTTGTATTAGTAGGGACATCTTGATCAAATTTTTAATTAATTTTTTCGAAAACAAAGAAAATGCCTGCATGATCATTAATATAATCTCGTTATAATTATCCAATATAAATTCTACAATCCTCTATTTAGCAATAATTGCGAAAATTAAATTATCGACATCTACATTAACTATTTTACTGATTTTATTTTTTATTTTTTTCGCATTTTCGTTTTATTTTATTTTTAATTTTATTTAAAAAGGACTTTCGTTTCCATCCCGAGAAACATAATATAAAACCAATTCAATACTAGGAACCGAAGGCATAGGTACTGAAATAGTCATAAAAGGATCAAATGTGACTGATTTTTTTCCACATGTAGGACATACTAATGTGGATTTAAACATCCCTACCATTAAATCAGTAATTATTGATTTGTTTCTTTTCTAATAATTATCCCAGCTTTTCTCAGCCACTTATTTGTCGTTATTTCCATCAGATTCTAATTATTCTAAGTATGGTTTTTTTTAGTATTTTATTTAAATCTTCGTGGATTCCGTCTAATAAATAAGATAGAAGTTCTTATGAATCTTATTAATTAAATCCACTAAACTTTAAATTTATTAATTATTAATTATTTTATTTAACATATATAATATTTATATATATATATAATTTTGTTAAAAAAAATACATATATAATTTACTTAGGGAGCAAATTTGCCTACAATACGTTTTAATTCCCAAGGAGATTCACAACTATTAGATCCTAACCATATATTTTTAATAAGTTCAGCATATGCAGCAGCTAAATATCCACCTTATTATTAAAGTAAAAAAAATATAAAGAATTAAAAAAAATACCTGTCCCTAATGGATTATCTCTATTTATATCATCTAGAAATAAATTTTACTTCATATAATTAGTTAATTCCTAAATATTACTTAAGCATTAAATTGAAGAGTTCATAAAACATGTATTTCCTAAATTTTAAAGTCCACAAATTCCATTTCTGGCATTTCCAGGTTAAGATTTATGGAAAAGCTTTATTTTAAAAATATCCATAAGTTGTTTTTTTTCAAGAATGATTCTTTTCATATTTATGCATTCATTTTTGTGATTATTTCTTCCTTTTTTTTAACAATCTTCATTACAATATTTAACCAATCTACACTCACAAAAGTATGAATATCCATTATTTTTTTAACAAAAAGCACATTTTTCATTATTTTCTTACTCCTCTTCGAAAACCCAGTCTTATTGATTACCTTTAAATTCAATTAAGATTATACTTTCGTAGTTTATTTCGATTTCTTCGAGAATTTTATTTTAGTCTAAATAATTTCCTGAAATAAAAGTTGGCTTCTGGAAATTCTAGTTTTATATTTGTTTTTAAATTTTTTCGATTTTATTTCTTTCAACTTTCCATAATTTACATTATTCACCTTCTTTGTCTAAAATTCTACAAATTCTGCTTTATAAATTACTCACGAATTCCTTTTTGCTTGCCTGGACATATTCGGGTTCTTACAAATGTATTTTAGAGTTTTCCTAAATTAAATAAAAACCAACTTTTAATAAATTCACTTCCACTATATTTACACTTTCATTTGCTTTTATAACAAGTCTCTATATGAGATTTAAATAACCATATTTTTCGCATAAATAACGGGCTGCGTTTGACGAAATAATCACAAAGTGCTTATTTTCGAAAAAATTGTTCCTAAGACAATATTTAGTGTATTTTTTTAACTGATCAGGGTCTTCTTTTATCTATAAGTTATACTCTATAATATCATAATTGTCAATAGGACCCGGATAATGATTGTCTTAGCAAGGATCTTTATATTGATTTTCGTAAGTGTGCTCGTTTTTCATATCTTAGTTGTATTAATTGATGTATTTTTACCATTATGTGAACCAATGAAGGGATATAATGTAAACTGGAAAACCAATAATTTTCATGAAGCTGTCATTTGTTTCAAAAAGTTTCATTTTTTAGAGGAATATTTCATTTAGTTCTTTTAAAGAATTTTGATCAATTTTTTCCTTTTTTTTTTTATGTTTTTATTCTTTATATTTTTTACTTTTTCTTTTTCTAGTATTTAATCTATTGCTTAAAGCTTTTAAGTTATTTCGGATTAATATGGAAACTATTGAAATTAGGTGTTTTATATATTTTCTTTTATTAGTTAAAAATATTGCTTTGAATGGGTAAAACATCTTAAATAATATAAAGAATTGGCCTTATAATAATACACATCTATATCTGTTTTTGTAAGTTTTATGGATTCTTTTCTTTTTTCTAAGTATTTATCTGCATATTATATTGCTTTTTCGTAATTTTAATTATAATAATGATAATTTGATAGCACTTTTTCTAATTTTGGGTCTTTACAATAGTTTTCTTATAATTAATTTAATAACCTTTCGCAATTTATTTAATCTATTGGTATCAATTTTTCGGCTTTCGTTAAAATTTCTTATTACATTGTTTTTATATATTTTTTTCTTATTAATAATATATATATATATATATATATATATTTATATATATATATATATATATATATTTATATATATATATATTTTTAAAAAAAAAGATTCTTTTTTATATATTTATTTTAAAAAAAAATAGAAATTACTAATATTTATTATTTTTATTTTTTTTTAAAAAAATACTTCTTTATTTAATTAATTTTATACATATTTAATTTTTAAACGAGTTCAAAATAATTTTTATTGTATTCTATTATTTTTAAATTGATTATTTAATAAATTTCTAATATTATTATATATATATATTATTACTTAGTATTAGAATTAAAAAATTTATTTAAAAATTATTGTAAAATTAACATTTTAAATTTTTTTTATTAAATCATATTTATATTAATTTTTATGTTTATATTGATATAAAACGATAAAATATAAAAACTCTAGATTACTCAAAATTGTATTATATAAAATTTTATTGTTGATTTACTATATACAATAATATTATTAAACATATAATTATGTTTAAAATAGGTTTAAATAAATGTTAGAATTTTTTTAAATAAATTTTTTAAAAATAATAATAAAAGTATTAATATTTATTTATTATTTATATATAAAATAATGGACATAAAAATATAAATTTAATTAAATTTTAAATTAATTATTTTATAATGCTTTTTGTAATTTATTTGAATTATATTAAAACTGTTTACATATTTGTTAATTTCGATAATCTAATAAAAAAAATTTCAAACTAATAATATTTTAATAAAAATAGACTTATAATATTTTTTATTTAATAAAAAATTATTTAAGTCTTTTTATAAATGTGAATTCTACTTTTATTTGAATAATATTTTGTTAAATTAATTATAATAATTACTAAAGATCATTACCTTTATTATTATTTCAGAAATATATAAGTAATTTAACAATTAATTTAATAAAATATTAAATATTTTTTTTTTTTTTTTTTCATAAAAAATTAGTTTTTTTTTTTATTAATAATAAAAAAAAAATATATAAAAAGAATATAAAAACTAAATTAATAAAATACAAAAATAAAATCAATATTTAATTAAGTAAAAAATAGGAAAAATAAACAAAATAAAATATAATTTTATCTAAAAAAAATAAAAAATAAAAAAAAAATGGTTAAAGTAAACATTTTAGCAGAAGCCCTTAAAACCTTAGTAAATGCTGAAAAAATGGGTAAAAAGCAAGTCCTTTTAAGACCTGTATCAAAAGTACTTTTAAGATTTTTAAGAATTATGTAAAAAAATGGATATATTGGAGAATTTGAAATTGTTGATGACCACAGATCAAAAAAAGTTGTTGTAGAATTATTAGGAAGAATAAATAAATGTGGTGTTATTTCACCCAGATATGATGTTCCTTTAAGTGATTTCGAAAAATGGACCAATAATGTACTCCCTTCCAGATAATTCGGACATGTAGTTTTTACAACTACTTATGGTATACTTACACATGAAGAATGTAGATTGAGACATACTGGTGGTAAAGCCTTAGGATTTTTCTATTGAGAATATTTTTATTACAATTAAATTAATATTAGTAGCTTTTTTTTTAAAAAAAAAAAAATTATTTATTTAGTTTTTTTAATTTTTTTTTTTTTTTTATTTTTGTAAAAAAAAAAAAATATTTAAATCAAAATAGTTTTTTTTTAAAATTTGTATAATAAATTGCAACTATAAATTAATAATTTGATATTTTCATAATTTTTTTAATAGCAATGTCTTTTTAATATAATGTCTATTTAGTTTTTTTTTTTTTTTTTTTAATAATTAATTTAAATATATGTATAGATTATTGATTTTTATTTTATTGTTTAACAAACACTATATAAAATAATAAAAATATATTTATTTTAATCAAATTTAATTTTTTTTTTTAAAATAAAAATAAGAAAAGAAAGTAAACTAAAAACAAAATATATAATTCGTAAAAATTAATTAGTAAAATATAATATATAGTATTATTTTAATTAAATAATAATACTATAAATTACATTATCAAGACTATTCAAGTGAAATAAAAAATACATCTTTAAAAACAGTATTAACATAATCTACTAATTCATGAAGTTTTTTAATTTTTGAGTTAAAATAATAGCCTAATTTACAAACTTTTGGAACTAAATTAACTTCGAATTCATTTTTAGGAACTTTAATTTAATTTTTCAAATTAGCAAATAATTAGGCCCTTAAAATACTTACAAAAGGGTGATCACTAATCATATCGCAGAATGTGTATTTTCTTTTGAAAAAATTATATTAGCAATTATATTCACATAAATTTAGTATTTGATTTTGTCCTTAAAACTATTCAATACTTTCTTATTGCAATTCATACATATTATTTGCTTCATTTAATTTCATATATAAAACTTGTCTGTTTCCCATATAAAATCCATGTTATTAGTATTAAGAGAACAAAATAAAAGTCCCAGGCCAAATATATATATGAAATCCGGGTTTAAGGCGAACTTATTAAGTTTAATTGTCATTTTTTACATAATAATCACAATCTTTAATTGGCCAAAAAAGATATATTTAATCTTAAATTTAAGTAGGATTAATATATTCATGGAAAGGTTTTATTTCATAATTTATATTTACTAATTTGATTATATTTCTATAATATTATTTATTTTATTTTATTTTTTTAAAAAATAATAATAATACTTAATTGTTTCAAATGCATCAAGATTTGTAAACTATTACCATCTTTATTATATAGAATTTATTAATTATTTAATTTTTTTTTCTAGGATATATTCGTTGTTTAATATTTCTATAAATTTATATCTATTTAATTCTATTATTTTTGATTTATAATCTCTATTTCCTATTAATTCAACTTCCTTTATAAGAGATAATTCTAATAATTCAGAAAGTTTTATCTTTTATTCACTATTAAGATTAATTATTGAATTTTGTTATATACTTTTCATTATATTTGGAAAATTTGAAAACTATATTTTATTTCCGTTACTAAATTATTGCATTAATGAATCGAATTAATCATATTAAGTCTCTGAAATTATAAAATTGGAAGTTAGACTATTATAAAGTATTAAAAATGTATTATATTTTTGTTTTTCTTAATTTTATTAGTCTAAATGAGAAATATCAAAGGAAAATATAATTTAATTTTTCTTCTATCCTTTATGTATGTTAAATTTCCAGAACTTCTCGTTGATTAATTTGACAAAAACTTCTTTCTATAGTTATTGATTTTCCATTAATATATTTTTTTTAATAATTTTTTTTTTTTTTAAGATAGTTTTTTATAATCACAAAATTAAATTAATATAAAATGCTTATATATAATAAAAAAAAAAATTAAAAATAAAATAAAATGATAATATTATATATTTAATAAAATAATAACATTTGTAGAATATAATAAAGAAATAAATATATTAAAATAAAACATATTTTTTTATTGATTATTTTGAAATAATATTAAAATATAAATATATAAATATTATATATATATATATATATATATATATATATATATATATATATATATATGAATAATATTCTTATATATATAAAAAATTATAATAAATATATTAATTAGTATATTATTAATATTTTTTATTTATATATTAATATAAAACAAAAAATATGTAAAAAGTTTAATTATTTAACTACAGCAACTCAAAACAATAAAATAGAAAATTAAATTTTTAAAATATAGAATTTAATATATCAGATTACTTAATTTATTCGAAATTACAAACATTAAAAAGAATTTGTAAAATAAAAAAAATTAATTAAAATATATAAATTATATATATCAACAAATATTAATATTTATAACAATAAGCATATTTATTAATATAAAAAATAATAAAAATTTTAAAAATAAATATATATCAAAATAAAATTGAATACATATCAAAATTAAAATATATTTAATCATTATAACTTTTTATTATTAGTTTTAAAAACGCATAAATACATTAAAAAAATTATATATAATAGTTTTAAAACCAAAAAATATAACATATTAACAAAATGTATATTAGATTAAAATACCAGAACATAATTTTGATTTATCTTTAAATCATAAAATTAATTTATGATTCTTAAAATAAATTAAAAAAAAAAATACATTATATATTTTATATTATTAATAATACATTTTCATTTGTAATAAATATATAAGTACTCGATAAAAATAAACTATATAATTTGTTTATAATATACTGTTATTAAATATGCATGTATATAATTAAGATACATTTTAAAAATAAATATATAATTTTTTACAAATTATATTAATAACTATATAAATTTTATATATTAGAAATATATATTTTATATTAGAATCATTTAATAAATGTTTATATGTAAAAAAAACTAATATATTTTATATTCATATTTAATTTTTATTTTTTATAACTCAAATCTAGTAACAAAAAAGGCAAAAAGGCAATAAATATTTGTCTATATGCTTTTTATTTTAATTTGAATTTGCTTTTTTTGAAAAAAAATAATAATAAAAACAATATAATAAATAATATTTAAAAATCAATATTAATATAAATAAATTATATCAATTAAAGTGTACATAATATATTAAATTTTAATTAATTATTTTTTAAAAATAATATATAAAAACATTATGCTTTTATTTTATAGGTCAATTTTTAATTAATTATATATTATGAAAGATATTTATATACATATTATAAAATAAATAATATTTTTTAGAAAAATTAAGCTTAGAAAATGCCAATTCTAAAGTAAATACTAAATGTACCAATAATTAAATCAAATATTAAAAAATACACATAAAAAAAAAAGATATATGTGATAATTAACTAATTTAGTCAAGTTCCAACATTCTACACAGCAATAAAAGCAAAAAACAGTAAAGCAGTATAAACAAATTTCTTTATAGCTTCATTATTAATGTATATTTCGTGGTATATATATGGTATAAAAACTTCAAATGAAATTTTATAATCCGTAAATCTAAAAAATATTTTAGTTTACTTTATATATTGTGCAATATCTATAGTTTTAACAAAAGAAAAATAAAAATAGCATTTTTAATAACATTTACATTAATAGAATATAATTTTTTTATGTTTTTGCCAATTCAAATGTTAGGTGCAGTTTGTACTCTTTTTTAAATACTTGCTACTTCTATTTAAATAGAATAAATAGTATTTAAATTTATTTTTAATTTAAATATATATAAAATAGTTTAAAGGTTTGAAAAATTGGGATAAAAATTATTTTGTTACTAAAACTTTCACTATTAGTACTATTTCTAGTATTTTATGGGTGCTAGCTGGATTTGAAAATAATGATTATTTTATTATTATTTCTAATTTATATGGATTTAGTTTAAGGTCTTTCTAACTTTCTTTAAGTATTTTTTTACCTGATAAATCATCATAAGATAAAACGATTAAAAATTAATGAATAAAAAATCACTAAAGAAAAAAAATTTTAAAAATATATATGGGTTTACTTATATATAAATTAAACTTTTATCATTTAACTTTTTTTTAATTTAAATATAATTTTTTTTTATATATTTTAATTAGCATTAATAAATTTGTGATTATATTATATTTTTTGTTATATTATACGATATAAGTGTTTGTATAATATTATTATTTTGTTCATATAAATTTAAAATATAATATTAAAAATATTGATAATAAAATAAAAGTTGTGACTGCTAATATTACTCTTTTATTTTTTTTTATATTAGATTTCATTTTTAATAAAAGCCTATGAGAAATACTCAAATCCTCGTCTATTTCTTGTGTATTTAAAATCATTTTATCTAGTTACATATTTTAATCATATAAATTTTTGCATATATCTTATGATTTATCTTCCATTTAATACATATCCGAAATAGCATTCCTTAATTTTTAAGTTCCATCAGTTAAAATATTATTTGTTTTTTTGAAACTTATTTATCCTTTTTATTCCATATTGGAAAGCTTTGTTTTGTTATTTTTTTTATATTTTATATAGATTATATACTTGTATTCTTTATTCCATTAATACAACTTTGTTTTTTTCTTAGGTATAAGTTTGTTCTAAGTTTTATATTTACTTTTTTATATCTTGCCATTAAATTCGGTACTTTTTAATCTTTATTAATAATTAAATATATCAATTTTAATAAAATTTCATTTTTTTTATTTTACTAATTATTAATGTTCTATTTTTTTTTATTTTGGCATAGAATTAATTTCTATTTCCATTTATTTCAACTATAATTATTTGTTTTATTTATTATTAATTTAAAAAAAAAAATACTAATTGGTCTCCTGAATTAATTTCATATTATGCTTCTATAATTGCTAATTCTTTTTTATCTATCAATAAACAAAAAAAATATATGAGTATATAAAAAATATTAAACCATTTTATAAATTTTGAATGCATTATATTTTATTTTCTAAAGAATGAGTTAATTTTATAAAATCTTATTCAAAATTATCAAATAAACTTATCATATAATATATTTAAATAAATAGTATTAAATTATTATAGTTTATTATATATATATCAATTATATCTATAAAAAATA